CTAAAGTTAAAGCCAACCCCTGTATCTCTTTTATGTCTTTGGAGATGTGAAGAAAACACATTTTGAACTTTATAATGATTTAAGAATACTTATCTTGGTAATTAGGATAAATTTCTGAGAGGCAGCATAGACTATTGTTAGTAGCATAGTTTTTAGAGCCAGATAGTTTGAATTTGATTATAGGCTCTACCATTTAATAACTAATCTACTTAACCAGGTTCCTATTTATAATATGGTTATGATAATAATGATTAAATAAGTTAGTACCGTTTCCCCGAAAATAAGACAGTGTCTTATATTAATTTTTGCTCCCAAAGATGCGCTAGGTCTTATTTTCAGGGGATGTCTTACTTTTCCATGAAGAATACAGTACACATTTATTGTTAAATGAAAATAAAGGAAATTTATTACCTGTATACGGTATGGTAGTACGGTAGTTGTCAATACAAACCAGACAAACTGTGAATCCTACAGTATCAAGAATTTACTCATTTATTCAATGACAATCATGTCATCATCTTTTGGAAAATCATAACAGTCCAATTCCTGAATTTCCTGGTGAATTTCTTGTGACTCCATTTCTTTCAGAATCAGTGGACCAAATCTCTCATGTTTAGCCTAGGGGGGCCTTATTTTCGGGGGGATGCCTTATATTTCACTCAGAAGGAAACCTGTAAGTAGGTCTTATTTTCGGAGGATGTCTTATTTTCAGGGAAACATGGTAGATGAAAAATATTTAGAATACCACTGGGTAATATTATGCACCATGTAGAAATGTTTGAATTTAAAGCTGCAAGGCCAAAATGCCAACTAAGGAACATGAAAATTTTCCTTTGGCATGAGACTTAAGAAGTACATGCAGTAAAAGCAATGAAATAACAATTTTCACCTATCAGCTTGGAAAAAATTAAAAAGATACAAAGGGTCCATCCTACCTAATAAAAGAGTAATGTGCAAATTAACCGTCACTCCACTCAAGCCACGCCCACCAGCCAATCAGAGCGAGTGTGCAGATTAACCCCTACCAAGATGGCAGCAGCAGTTGAGAGGCTTGGGTTTCCGTGGCAATAGAGAAAGCCAAGCTTTCCACACACCCTGACTGGCCTAAGCCTCCACTCGAGGATACAAAGTTTCAATTACAAAAGGTAAACCAAACAGAAATGGCTGCAGCCATGGAGCAAGCAGGAGGCTTGGCCCCGCTGGAAACTACAAAGTTTTAATTGTAGAAGATAAATAAACCTCAGATACCAGGGCCTCTACTTGGGTCACCAGGGGGTGTGGCCAGCCTGCAAACCACCACGGCCCCTCACCTAGACGCCCCCACATCCCAAGAGAACCCCACCCTGATCCGGGACACGCTTCAGGGCAAACCAGCTGGCCCCTACCCATGCACCAAGCCTCTATCCTATCTAATAAAAGAGTAATATACAGATTAACCATCACTCCAACACACGAGATGACTGCCCCCCATGTAATCAAAGATCCTGCTCCTATGTGGACACAAGATGGCCTGCAGGGGAGGGCAGTTGAGGGGGACCAGGCCTGCAAGGGAGGGCAGTTGTAGGTGATCAGCCCTGTAGGGGAGGGCAGTTAGGGGTGACCAGGCTGGCAGAGAAGGGAATTTGGGGGCAAACAGGCTGGCAGGAGAGCAGTTAGACATCAATCAGGCTGGCATGGGAGTGGTTAGGGGGTGATCAGGCTGGTAGACAGAAGTGGTTAGGGGCAATCAGGAAGGCAGGCAGGTGAGCAGTTGGGAGCCAGCAGTCCTGGATTGTGAGAGGAATGTCTGACTGCCCATGTAAACGGGCAGTTTAACATCCTTCAAGGGGTCCCAGATTGAGGGTGCAGGCTGGGCTGAGGGACACCCCTGCACGAATTTCATGCACTGGGCCTCTAGTAATTTATGTTACTGCAGAGTGCTTGAGGAAATGGATACACATGTTCATGGATTGGCAGAGACAAAAATGGGTATAGACCTTTTTGGAAAGGAATATTTAAATGCCACGTCCTTCAGATCATGAAATTTCACTTCACTATGTCTATCTTGTAGAAATACGGGCAGTGTAGATGCTGAAACTCATAAGAACTTTGGAAGCTTTAAGCTTAGAAATGTTTTAAGAGCTCCCATAATAACATATGAAGAACATCAGATAAATTTTATTAAAATTTTATTACAGGTCTCCGAATTATTTTATGTCTAGATTGATTATATAATTGCAGATATACTAATTTTCATTACCTTCATATAATTTAGGTTTGTCAACACTTGAAGTATCATGTTACTTATTTCAATTAGGGTTATTTTCCAAAATTTGGCACATGTTCAAATTCTTATCCTTACAGTCTTCACTAGCTTAAAATAATGTCCTTTAAGTGCTTTATCCAAGCTCACATTTCTAATAGCTTTGTCTTATAAATTTAATTGCCACATCTTGAGCAATCTAATCTTCAAAATTCTGGACAATACAAATATTTCTAAAGTTATGGAGATAATCCATCACCATGGTTATGGTTAGCTTGTTTAGACACAGGTAATGAAAAGGATTTAAATTTTCCATTGAGTTTTGTTTGGGTAGTCATTTTGGTAACTTAGATTTGGTTGAGTATTAAAAGAAAGGACTACTAAATCTGAAAGTTGCTGATAAAATTCAGATCATCTAGTAGTTGTGGCATTTGAACTAATATTCATGTTTATCATGAGGTCATTGATTGGCACTCTATTTGGTGGTTTTGCTTGAACCAGATAGGATTCTGTTTTCCTCTGTCATCGCTGCGTCTCAGCTTGCCAATTTCTGAGGGGGAAAGAAATGAGGGAAACAGTATCCCAGAAGCTAGGGGACAGACACACAGGATCTCTCCTCCATCCCCCTCACCCCCAGAACTCTAGTATATGTATAAAATATATTTTTAATACTTTTATTATTGTACACTTTATTTTAAAATTCAAATTTAAAACATTTTCTTAAATCAATAAGGATAATGAGGCAGTTTTAAGGCACATAAATAATGTTTCGTTGCCGAGACCAGTTTGGCTCAATGGATAAGGCTTCGGCCTGCGGACTGAAAGGTCCCGGGTTCGATTCTGGTCAAGGGCGTGTACCTTGGTTGCGGGCACATCCCCAGTAGGGGGTGTGCAAGAGGCAGCTGATCGATGATTCTCTCTCATCGATGTTTCTAACTCTCTATCTCTCTCTCTCCCTCTCTGTAAAAAATCAATAAAATATATATTTTTAAAAATAATGTTTTATGTTATTAACATTGTTACTTTTTCATATCCTCATCTATTTTAGTTTTTTTAACTTAAATTTATAGCATTGAGAAAATCGGGTTCACATAGGTAAATAGTTATAAGTAGTAATAGTTTTTAATAGCTCGCCTTAAATCTAAAAATATTCAAGTTAAATTGATCTAGATGTTTGAATTAAAATTTTTATATCGAAGTTCAGTTCTAACAACAGTAAATGTTGATATTCCTTATTAAAGCATAAAAGAGAAGCATTTGAATCTGAATAAGTTCTAAAAACTATCTTACCCTGTTGTCACAATACAATTTGATATTCACATGTTATTGCAACACCTGGGTTCAAATCCCATCCGCTACATACTGGCAATTTTTGAACAGCTGCATCCCAATTTCATCATTTGATAATATTTAACCAACCTATAGGTTGTTCGAACTAAGCATCTTGTAGAGGGCAGTGTTTGGCCCATTGTAGGTTTTAATAGCTACCCTGTTTCCCTGAAAATAAGACAGTGTCTTATATTAATTTTTTCTCCCAAAGTTGCGCTAGGTCTTATTTTCAGGGGATGTCTTATCTTTCCATGCGCTAGGTCTTATTTTCGGAGGATGTCTTATTTTCGGGGAAACATGATGTTAAAGAAGTTAAGGCTGGAACCGGTTTGGCTCAGTGGATAGAGCATTGGCCTGTGGACTAAAGAGTCCCAGGGCATGTACCTTGGGTTTCCAGTCAAAGGCTTGTACCTTGGTTGTGGGCACATCCCCAGTAGGAGGTGTGCAGGAGACAGCTGGTGGATGTTTCTCTCTCATCGATGTTTCTAACTCTATATCCCTCCCTCTCTGTAAAAAAAAATCAATAAAATGTATTTTTTTTTTTTTAAAGAAGTTAAGGACAGAACCTAGTTTAGCTTTGTTGCTATGCAGCTAAGCAGAGAAACTGGACTCTGCATGATTGGATTTATGAAAATCTTTTTTACTGACCTGATTCTTGGAAGAGTTCCCCAAAGATACCTTATTAATTAATACCTTTCTTAATCTTTATTAATACATTCCTTTAAATTCTTAGTACTGTGCTACATCTTTGTTTTTCATAACCCCACATTTATTTACTACCTGTTGTGCTAGTCATAGATAAGGGGCTGTTAAGGGAGTAAACAACCTGAAAACAGTAGTTTATTATAGCTGCTAATATAAATTCCTATACCTTATAGTCACTACTGCTCATATAGTAAAAGGGAGGGGGAGAGTAGAGTCAAAAATGTATTTGTAGCTATTATTGTTCTATCTGTTTAAAAATACCTGCTTTCAAGTTACTATGCACAACTTCCATTTCTCTAAACTTAATCATGAATTCTCTATGTTGAGACTTTTTGAATGGCTATAAAGGTGGTATAGCCTTCATATACAGACTATTTTTCATATATAGACTATGATTCGGACTAAAACAAAAACACTCTCTTCAATTTGACATGCCAGAGAGGAAACACCTGTTTCAGACAGTTTTAAAGCTTCATCTTGGACTTCTTGTTGAGAGTTTTTATGTCTGCAATAATCCAGAAATTTCTATAATTCTCTACCCAAAAATTTCTTTAGCTCTCTATTAAAAATACTTTCATGTAGTAGAAAAATCTCTATATAATTTAATTACATTGCATCTTCTAATCCTTCTATGGTAAGCAGAATGTAAACTTTTATTCAAGCAAAGGCACACTAACAAATTTTCTCTCTTTTCTCCCCTCTTCCATTCCTTTCTGTTATATAGGATAAGTTCTGAACGTCGAAAAGAGAAGTCTAGAGATGCAGCCAGATCTCGGCGAAGTAAAGAGTCTGAAGTTTTTTATGAGCTTGCTCATCAGTTGCCACTTCCCCATAACGTGAGTTCGCATCTTGATAAGGCTTCTGTTATGAGGCTTACCATCAGTTATCTGCGTGTGAGGAAACTTCTGGATGCTGGTGAGTTGTTTTATTGGGGCATGCTAGGCCTAAAAATTAGAAATTAAAAGTAATTAGAAATTATATTTAGAGGCTGGGCATACTCTCACTTCTTCCTTAATATGATTGCCTTTTTATTACATGCTTTTAAAGCTTCAGGCCTTTGCCCCTCTTTATTTCTTGCCCCACCTACTCAACTATATCCTCCCCCGCCTCTTCTCACTGAAGAATGTTTGTTTATTTGAGAGAGATCTATATAAAGGAGAAATATCAGGCTTGTGCCCTAACCAGGAATCGAACCCTCAATCTTCTGGTTGAGGACAATGCTCCCAACAAACTGATCCTCTTGTCCAGGGCCTTACCTACCTATTTTTTATTAACATGACCATTCTTTCTCTTTCCAGTTTGCCTTGCTGTATTACTTTAAATAATCATTAAGAGTAGCTGAGAAAATCTCTCTGAAGCCGGTTTGGCTCAGTGGTAGAGCGTTGGTCTGTGGACTGAAAGGTCCCAGGTTCGATTCCGGTCAAGGGCATGTACCTTGGTTGTGGGCACATCCCTGGTGGGGGGTGTGCAAGAGGCAGCTGGTTGATGTTTCTCTCTCATCGACGTTTCTAGCTCTCTATCTCTCTCTCCCTTCCTCTCTGTAAAAAATAAAATATATTTTAAAAATAAATAAATAAAAAATAAAAATAAAAGTAGCTGAAAAATCTAATTTTAGTCTTCCTGTTCTCTGACCATGATTGTTCTATGTTAAAAGGAGAGTGATGGAGGGGAGAGGGGGATATTAATATGCAGAAAAAATATATGTTGTGTATCTTAAATAAGTGGAGAAAACTTTATTGAAACATCTGAGTATTCATTTAAGTATAATTTTTAAATTATTTTCCTTTTGTTTGTGCTCTTTTTAGGTGATTTGGATACTGAAGATGAAATGAAGGCGCAAATGAATTGCTTTTATTTGAAAGCCCTGGATGGTTTTGTTATGGTTCTCACAGATGATGGTGACATGATTTACATTTCTGATAATGTGAACAAATACATGGGGTTGACTCAGGTAACATACCCTTATATTAAGAGAGCTTTTTTATATATTTATGATTTTATGATGTAGATCTAATTTTTTAAAATGTGTTTACAGTTTGAACTAACTGGACACAGTGTGTTTGATTTTACTCATCCGTGTGACCATGAGGAAATGAGAGAAATGCTTACACACAGAAATGGTGAGAAGAAAAGTCTATTGTTTGATATAATGTGACAGGTGGTTTTACCTGATCAGATACTGTTACTAATTTTTAGATTCTGTTATTGTACTATTTAAGGCAAAACATCATTTCATGTTAATTAAATGTTACTCTATTCTTGGTTAAATCCATTCTATTTTTAAAGAATTTCATTAAAGTATGTAAAAAATGTTTTTAAAGCCACCTAATTCCATAAATATATAGCTTTAAGAATAGATGATATTCGTATAAAATAAAATGGAAAAATAAATAAAGATCATGACTAAGGAAGTTATAGATTAAAATACAACGTTAAGACAAGAAGAAGTCAATTCAAATGGCAGATTATAGAATCTTAGACAATTAACTAAAGTTGAGGTGCCAGTTTGGATTTTAGCTTTCTAAGGGCTCAAGGAAAAGAAAAGAGAAGGTTTCACCGGAATTTAAAGAATGTGATACTTGCTTATTTGACCTTTCATGAAATTTGAAATAACTTGAAAATATGTAATTAATTATGAAGTATTACATTATGGATGCCCCACATTATCAACAACAAAAAAGACCTGCTAACACCTCTAACTCTTAAGAATGAATTGTTAAAAGTAACCAAATGTTCCAAGATTTGAACCGCTCTCCCCCCCGAAATTCAAAACATGAATTATTTATTTGGAATTTTCCCATTTACTATTTTTGGACCCGAGATTGATTATGGGTAAAGGAAACCAAATAAAGCAAAACGCCAGATAAGGAGGTGACTGCTGTACTCTACAGCCTATCAGGAATCTGCACTTAAAAACTTAACAAGACAGTGTTTTCATATGCATGCCCTCTTAAATAGGGTATCCTGATCATAATTTGTAAATTTTCATTGTATCTTTCGTGACTGAAAGTTATAATGAAAATTTGTCATTGTGCATTAAAATTATAGTACTTTTCAATAGTTTTTTTTAATGGTTTCTTTTTCATCTTATCTCATTTATGATAATAGTTAACCTCTATTCAGAGATTATGCTGTGCCAGGACACAGTTCTCTGAATTTATGTGCTTTCTAACTCCTTTATTCCTCACAACAGTACTGTGAAGATGCTGTTGTTATTTGTTGTTTTACTGAGGAAATTGGGGCACGGAGTTATTGAGCTGTTTGCTCACAATTACTGTGTGGGTAAATGGTAGAGCATGACTTAAATTCGGGTGGACTGGCTCTAGAGTTCACATTGTAGAGCTCTTTTCTTATTTAGCAACTCTCACTACCTTCTACTGCCATTTACCAAGGTACCTTGTCAGCAGGAGCCCTCTCCTGTTTTTAAATTTCATATTGTGTGTTTACTGTGAACTTGGAAAGCAAATGCGTATTTTTTATAATTCTGTATAAAGGAGGAGTAAATAAATTCTGAGCAAAGACCTAAGTAGATTGTCAATTAGTTCAGTATATGAGTTCAGGTGATTAGATTTGAGGATTTCTATTGGCTTCTATTTCTCAGTGCTTCCATTAGACTAGACCAGTGGTCGGCAAACTCATTAATCAACAAAGCCAAATATCAACAGTACAATTGAAATTTCTTTTGAGAGCTGAAAACCAACTTCTGCGCATGGGCCACGAAGTTTCAATCTCACTGTGGTATTTTGTGGAAGAGCCACACTCAAGGGGCCAAAGAGACGCATGTGGCTTGTGAACCACGGTTTGCTGACCACTGGACTAGACTATAAGTGGATGGATATTAAGAAGTCATGTTTTGATTTGGTAATAATGTGTTATTCTAAATCAGATATAGTCTGCTTAATATAGTTTAAATATATGTTTTAAACCAAGCACATAAACATTTTTAAAAATCATTCCTAATGCAGTTCATGAATTTTTGATGTTTCATTGAGGAGGAGAAAAATGCAGATTTCACTTTCATTTTTATAAATTTTTAAAAATATATATATTTGATTTTTTTTTTTACAAAGAAGAAGGGAGAGGGATAGAGAGTTAGAAACATCGATGAGAGAAACATCGACCAGCTGCCTCCTGCACACCCCACACTGGGGATGTGCCTGCAACCAGTGTACATGCCCTTAACCAGAATCGAACCTGGGACCATTCAGTCCACAGGCTGATGCTCTATCAATTGAGCCAAACCAATTTCAGCTAAATTTTCACTTTTAAAAAAGAGGGGCTGCTATAGTGCATCACATTTTAATGATACACTGAGAGCTGTTATTGGTGTATTTACACAGTGTAGTCCTATTATTTTGTTTTTGGGAAGAGAGAGGAAGAGAGAGAGCATTGATTTGTTGTTCCACATATGTATGCATTCATTGGTTGATTCTTGTATGTACCCTGACCCAGGGTAGAACCCACAACCATGGCATATCAGGACAGTGCTGTAACCGACTGAATTCCTAGCCAGCACTAATCCTATTATTCTTCTGTTAAAAAGATTCTTTAGATTTCATAAGAAATTATAAAATACGATTTATTTTTAGAAGGCTGAAAATTTATTTCTTGAGAAATGTTTCTTCCATTAGGAAAATGCTAGTACTTTTCTACTACCTTGGTATTTAAATTTATCTTCATGTTCTAATTCAACGGCTTTGGGATTCAAAGGTCAATCCAATTTAAGCTTAGATTATGAAAGACTGAAAATACCCTCAAAGAGTTTACATGTGGATCATTGCTGCCACACCATCAGTCTCCCTCCTCCCTCCCCTCCCCCCCCCACCCCATACAAACCCCACATGCATGCCCTTATGCCATAATTAAGACCAGTATGGTGTGGGGCATTTTTAAAATCCATTCTCAAGCACTTCTAAGGAGAGCAAATTAAATCCTTATTTAAATAAATCCAAATAACTGTGTTAGCACCAAGACTGCCCCAACTTACCTAGTTCCATTATTATAAGTCTGAGCTATAACTCTTCTTTCTCAAGAATCTTAACATTTCTAGCTAACCTGGCCAAAATTTAAATTTAAGTTGTTTCTTTTCTACTTGACACTTTTCTTTCAATATACTAGCCTTAAAAATCTTCAAAACTTAAAATTTCTCTGTTGCCTTATTTCTATCAATTTTTAAGAAGTTTTTATAGGTTCTGCCTTTTTATCTTTGTCATCCTTTTTGCTTCTGCTACTGTTCAGTCCCTCATTGCCATCATGTATTCTAATTCTTATGCATTCTATATGTCGCTGCTAAATTAATGTTATTTAAGTTCCTGGTTGTGTTCCCCACTTCAGAATTTTTTAGAAACTCCATGTTGTATATTTAAGGCTGAATTCATTGTAGCCCTCCATAGCTACAGCTCTGACCTTCTCTTCTCTTCTAATTTTGTCTCATTACTCTTTATATTGTGACCAAACTGAACTTTCTGGTACTGGTGCCCAAATTTGCTGTTTTCCCCACCTATGTGCTTTTCCTTCTCTTCTGTCTGGAATAATACCCTTCAACTCAGATCTACTTATTGAAATGCTAAATTTCTTTCTAAGAAGAGCTTCCTAATTTCCCCTGGACTAGAAGTTACCTTCTAAAGCTCTCTCTATACTTCTTTAAATCTTTCTTGTAAGTCTTGGTCACTTAACTCTGCATTGTATTGTTATCATTAACTTCCCCACATCTAAATGTTTAATTTCTTAAGGCTGTGTGTCTTATTCATCTTTGTATTGCCTGCACTATCTAGTCCAGTTCCTGAATAATAAATAAAAGTCTGATCAATGAAGATAAGAAATCAAGTTGCTATTTGAGGGTTGTAGTCTCATTTTTTAGTTACATAAGGTTTGGAATATGAGTAAATAGACCTGAATTGATTTAATTCCAATTTGGCTCTGAAAAGTCATTTACTCTCCCCTTCCCCCCCATTACAAGATAGAAATAGCTTCCTGCCTGCTTCATAGAAAGATTTAAGGAAAAATTAGATATATAAAAATGTTTATTTGCTATTGAAGAAATTTTCTATTTTAGATGTTGTATAAATAATGGAGTACTTATTATAAATTGAACTAATATATTTAGTAAAGGTCTGGAAGGGTTTGCTAAAGTTCCTTTTTGGGGGAACTGATAGCATAGTTTGCGGACAAATTCATACCATGTTTCTTTGCAATTTGACCAACATTCCTGGCTGAATGTGAAGTGATTACTATTACTCAGGGAATTACCAACTCAGGGAATTCTTCTACCAACTCAGGGAATCGCTGCTGCTACAAATCCAGGGTGTTAGGTTGCTGGATGTGTTGGAGTGTGCACAGCGAGTGTGACTGTTTTTGTTCATGCTGGGATATTTAATTGAGCAGCTCCCAGGTGTGCTACTCTTACTATAACAAATTTACATATTAAACTAAACCTTTAAATTTTATTTTCTGCTTTCCTTAGGCCTTGTGAAAAAGGGTAAAGAGCAAAATACACAGCGAAGCTTTTTTCTCAGAATGAAGTGTACCCTAACTAGCCGGGGGAGAACTATGAACATCAAGTCTGCAACATGGAAGGTAAGTAAAAATGGGTTGTTAATGGTGATGCACTTGATGTATAGAGAACTTCATGCATCTTGGCATTGTTAGCATTAATTAGCTTTAGCACTGTGAGGGAAAACTTAGATTTGTTGTTCCTTGGCATTTGCAGATTTAACATACAAATAGTATATTAATTTGCCAGTTTGAGGCATAATGGGAATTGACACCGGCTTACTGAGCTAACTTAGTCAGTTGGCTTTGCCAACCATCCAGAGTTTGAATCTTTATAGAGCTTAATTTTTAATTCATTGTTGTATCATATGTTTTGCTCAGTGTTTAAACAGTCATTAAAGCAAGAAATAACCATCACACAGCTATGATGACCAGCTGAATGAAAAATCAGCCCAGATTTGTTGTATGAAGGAGATTTTAAAAAGAGTAATTAATCTGTGATGCCTGTGGTATAGGCCAGGGGTGGTGTAGGGAAAACATTTATTGATTTTCAGAATATAGTTTACCTACTAATGACAGTAAATTTTTACCAATGCTTACTTGCCATATCAGACTCAACTACTTATTGCTGTATATTTTTTTCTAGCATTGTATATTTTTTAAAAAACTGCTGTTTCTCCATACACAGGTACTTCACTGCACAGGACATATTCATGTGTACGATACCAACGGTAACCAATCTCAGTGTGGGTATAAGAAACCACCCATGACGTGCTTGGTGCTGATTTGTGAACCCATCCCTCATCCATCAAATATTGAAATTCCATTAGATAGCAAGACTTTTCTCAGTCGACACAGTCTGGATATGAAATTTTCTTATTGTGATGAAAGGTGAGATACAAAATACAATTTGAAAATTTTCGTTTGTCTACAACTTTTAAAAAACTATTGAGAGGGACCAGGTCTGCAGGGGAGGGCAGTTAGGGGTGATCAGGCTGGCAGAGGAGGGAAGTTGGGGGCAAACAGGCTGGCAGGCAGAAGCAGATAGGGGCAATCAGGAAGACATGCAGGTGAGCAGTTTTGAGCCAGCAGTCCTGGATTGTGACAGGGATGTCAGACTGCCTGTTTAGGCCCTATCCTGGTGGGCATATTTAATAAATAGACAGTCGGACACCCCTCAAGGGATCCCAGATTGGAGAGGGTGCAGGTTGGGCTGCACCGCCACCACCACCCCCACCTTCACCCCCCCCCCACACACACACACACCCACCACACACACACACACACACACACACACACACACACTCACTCCAGTGCATGAATTTTGTGTACTGGGCCTTTAGTTTAACCATAATGTAGATAAGAATGCCTCACCCTCATTGGACAAGGAAATGTTAAGAGTGCTGGTTTTGGAATCACATAATCCTGGCCTGCTGCTCTGGTACTTACAGTGTAGCCTTGTTCTTAGAACTGAACTGTTCTAAATCTCATTTCTTATCTAAAATGAGGGTGATATTTCAAAAGGCTGTTGCTAGGATCAAAAGAGTTTGTTGAGTGCTTAACGAACGCTGGTGTCATCTTTAAGAAAAATGAAGTTAGAGCTAAGAAGTATTTTATGACATTAATTTGCAGTATTCATTTGAATATATGATAGAACAAAAATGCCCTCCTTTTCTGAGAAATTATTTTTTTATTTTTTTTAACTTAGTTACAAAGTATAGGGGTAGGCTGAAAAAAGGAAAGTGATGAAGCTAAAAAGAGAAAGATTATTTCAGAAAATTAACAAAATGATCATGACAGAGGAGAAAAAATAGCCAATTTAGAGTTTGGCAAAGTAAGATTTTGAGTTTGACTAGTTATTTTTCTGCTTAGAGGTCTTTGTAGATACTTCTTCACATCCATAACCCTTAAGAAAAAGATTTAAAAAAATTTAAAATCTAACATATCAAACTTCTAACATCTAAAATATTCCACACGTAGCTATTATTTACGATACCAATTTCCACTTAGAATCAATCATTCAACACGTTAATTTGAGCACCTGCTATGTGCATGACACTGTAACTGGCACTAAATTGGAAATGAAGATTAACAGGTCTGCCCTCCGACATTTAGAATGAATAAGTGGTACACTACATAGTTGTTTTAGATCACAGCTTTTCTAGTCCATTAAAAGTATTTTTTATCATATTTTCTGGATCACTCCTCTCCTTTTTGGTACAGAATATAAGGTTTGTAATTTCCTGAAGTTAACTTTTTACCTTTTCTGGCCTCATCTCTTTCTGCTTGCCCCTTCTAACCATACCAGTCTTTGTTGGCTATACAATGCCAAGCATTTTCTCACCTCTGTCTTTGCTTGTGGTGTACCTTCTTCCTGAAGTGGTTCTGTTCTTTGACTCTCTTCTATACTCAACTCATAAATCTCCTATGGAAAACATCCTTTATCCCACCATTCCTTCTTGTGGGCAAGGGCGGTGTCTCTGATTCCTGTGCTTACCACATTATTTCTTAAGTAGTACAGTAAGTGTACTCGAAGATTAGCCACATGTTGAATTTGTCTTTCCATTTTACCCCTAGAACAGTGCCAGGCATACAAACATATAAAGGTATAAATAATGAAAAAATTAATTTCATGAGAACATTATTTAAACATATAACCTTCATAAAACCAATTAAAATTATTTTTAAAGCATAATTTAAAGTAGACTGTTATAGTTTCTTTTTTTTTTTTTTTTAAACAATGGTTTCCTTTGAAATGCTGCCACCTAGTGTAGATATGTTTAGGTAGGTCCCTTTGTAAAGAATTTTGGATTTTGGCTTAAGTTGGCTTAATTTTTGTTTTGTTTTGTTTTTACAAATCAACTTTCTGTTTGTTTATTTTGGAATAAATTATAGCAGATCTTTCCTTAAAGTGTGACACATTTTTACACATTTCCTAGGAGAAGAATATCTTCCTGTGTGCTTTCTGTCATTAACTGAGGTGTGATTTCATTGGGGTAGGGGGCAGATTTTTGGACACAATAATTGTTATGTAACCTTTGTTTACATCTCAGAAAGTCCCTTGAAATCTAAACTCTAAGAAATAAAAAAGCTTAACTCATGTTTTGCTTTCAGAAGAAAACATTTCTAAGTGCTAAGAAGAGCTTTCTCTTTCCCATAAAAAGGTTCCCATTTCAGACTTGTTACAGAGAATTGTAAGATTTAGTCTCTGTCCTAAAGGAACTGTGAGAAAATCAGAAGGATTTTGTTCTAGTCAATTTTCAATTTGATAGCATTGTTTCATCTGAAGTGAATTTCTGTAATCTTACATAATTAATTTCCAGAATGAAGTATAAGAGCATCTTCTAAAATCAACAGAATAGGTATTCCTTTATTCCCATTTAATGTAGATACTCTGGTTAATAATACTGAAATTTTGTAGTGGATATTGATCCCCCAAAATGAAGCCTTGACTAATGGACCTGTTTTATGAAGAATGTGATTTTGTGTACACACACACACACACACACACACACACGAATCTGATCTTACTGCAAGATAATGTTACAGATTTAATCTATATATTTTAAGTGTTAGTAACTACCTTTATGACATTTGCCATTTAATTTTGCAGTATTTCATATCTATTTATTAATAACTTGTCTTGTTACCAAAAGTATATACCATACAATGTGATAAAAATGAGTAACATGTTTGAATGAAGGGGATTACAAGGTTAGATAACAGGGTGAATCCAGAGAACTTAAACGGATAGTGTCATATTTAGTAACTGCAGAGTTACTAAAGGGGAGATGTAAATTTATTTTCAGCAAAGAAAAATGCTCTTTATTTTTTAAAATTCACTTGTTCATAATATTAATGCATATTCATTACAATAAAGAAGCAAAGTTTCTCATCAGTTAATTTCTCTTTTTTCTTATTACATTTTTTACTTAACAGAATTACTGAATTGATGGGATATGAACCAGAAGAACTTTTGGGCCGCTCAATTTATGAATATTATCATGCTTTGGACTCTGATCATCTAACCAAAACTCATCATGATAGTAAGCAGAATGGATGAACTCATTGATATTTTGTTTAACTCTTTTCGGTCTCTTTACTTTTTGGTCATACAGCTAAGTAGATTTAATTTTTTGGTTAATATTAACCATTCTTTCTAAACTATCTTAACAAAACTCTTCCTAAAGGATCTTGACAAATAAATCTAGGTATGTTTTATATTTGTTTAAACAATACTAAGTAAAGTAGAATCATTTGATATCTAAAACTTGCCAGGCATTTTAAATACAAAGGCTCAAAAAATACATTGCAGGATATTGTAGCATTATTTTCAGAATTGATCCTTAAATATTAAAAACAGTGGTTTGAGTACAAAGCATTCAGAAAATATTTGTGCAATGAAGTGAATTGTTTAGTAAAGTGAAGGTGATTAACAACAGCATGTACTAGCGGTAATAAGTACCCTGGACATAAGATATGTTTCCCAATTTTACTCAAATGTTATTTAAAGATCCCATGATAATTAAAATATTAGAATTTTTCACTTGACTGTTGAATCTGTACTTGAACATGACTTTCCAGTATAATTGGAGATGCCTCAGTGTCACTGAATATGATTAGTCTTGAACTACCAAATATCCACCAATATTCATGATAATATCTTTATTATTTCTCTAGTACTTGTTCCCATCAGTAATTAAGATTACCTACAGTGCCAAAGACTTCAGCATATCAATTGAGATTCAAATATGTTAGCATAGCTACTTGAAGCATCTTTGGTTATCTGGAAACTATAGTGGGAATTTAAGAAAATAATAATAGTACTTTTTTCTTAAATGTTCTTGCTAGAGATTATTCATTCTCTAGTCAGTAAAGGAATTTTAGTCTCTGTTGTCCTTCATTCCTGGCTTTGATTTTATTTAAAGTAACAGGAGTTTATTTGGGGAGAGGGCGGGTAGAAAAATAAAATTGGGTACATTTTCAGCTACTAGTTTCCTTGGGCTTTTTATCTTTCAATTTAAACAATTACAACTGATTCCATTAATATAAGCATCTCTCCTTTTCTAAAACAATGATCAACATTTAGCATCCATTTGATTGAAGTTCAGTTGTTATTTTCTCCGCATGACTCTTTCCATTTTACTCCTAGTGTTTACTAAAGGACAGGTAACTACAGGACAGTACAGGATGCTTGCCAAAAGAGGTGGATATGTCTGGGTTGAAACTCAAGCAACTGTCATATATAACACTAAGAACTCTCAACCACAATGCATTGTCTGCGTAAATTTTGTTGTGAGGTAAGCTTGGAAAATAAATATTTGGGGAAAATAAGTAATAACTCTTCGGATACTCTACTTTTAAAGGCAGAAAAAAATTTCAACATTAACTGAACTTTATTTTCTCATTTCTATCTGATTATGGTTTTCAGTACTCTAATCTTTGTAAGCCAGCTTTTCTACAGTGATTTCACTACTACCAATAGCTATCTATTTCCATTCTTTTCACTTCGATATTTTAAAAAACCCTAAAAAATACCAGACCTATGGATTAGTTTGTTCCAGTCATGCAGCTGTCAGCTTGTATTACCTCACAGCAGCTATGTTATTTTTAGGAACAATACTAGCCTTGAAATAGTTAGGCTTGTGTCGTAGCTCTGTTATGTCTCCATAAACTTGGGAAAGTCTAATTTCTCTGAATTTCATCCATATTTGAGAGATGATAATACTTAATTCAAAGGTTATCTGAGAGCTAAATGAAAATCTATGTGAGATTACTCTAAAAGACTGTATAATGTGAATATTCTTGAGTTCTTCCCTTAGCTGATGGACTTGTGAATGTTAGAGATATCATAAACTAATCCTTCATTTGATCAATTTCAGTAGGCAAATGCCCCCTTTTAGTCCATCTTCCACATTACCACCAGGCTGTTTTTTCTTGCATATATATACCTGCTCATCTCATTTTCTTTAGAATTATTTTAAAGATCCCTTGGTCACCTTCACGATAAAGCCTCACCTACTTGCAGAACATCATTTCTTGTTATTATCTTCTATACTCCCATGCATTCATAATTGTAACCCTCTTTCTAACATCTATGGCTACCTCTCCTAGGAAGACTTTGGTCATTTGTTTTTATTTTTGCCAATTCTGACACCATCCTTTAATGTTTTAATATTAGTGCCAAAGAGTTGGTGACTTTCCTATTATATAAGAATCAATTACTTGGAATGCCTTTTACCCCTCACTGCAGTCTACCTAACAAATACTATTTGAAGCCAAGTTTCAGCTTGTAGGCCTCTCTCAAGAAAGCCTTCTCCATTTTAGCAATCACTTTATTTGCACATTTACTTTCACACTGGTCTATAAAACTTGAGGGGAAAGGGTTAGGTGGTTTATAAACTTGAAGGAAAGGGTTGGATCAAGCATGTCAAATTTGTGGGCCCCGGGCCATATGAGGCCCACAATGAATAATTTTGCAGCCCAGCCAATATAAAAGTATGTAAGAAGCATTTTAATAAAAAAATTGTAATCCAATTTTTACAATATCCTGTTATACATAACTAGAGGCCTGATGCACAAAATTTGCACATGGGTAGGGTCCCTAGGCCTGGCTGGTGATCAGGGCTGATCAGGGCATTGTGACTTTTGGCCGGGACCTTCATTCCATGCCATCCCATGGTGGTCAGCACATGTTACAGTGAGCGATTGAACTCCTGGTCTCCCAATCTAATTCCCACGGGGACACTTTGCACATTAGCCTTTTATATAGATTATTAAAAATGAACTACAACGTTCACTAATGACTGATTACTAGAATTGTGTTATGTTCATTTCCCTTATGCACCTTACGCGCAATTACACCATTTCTCTCCACTAATACTAGCAGCTAATATTTTAGCAGCTGATGGCTACATCATTAGTCTTGTACTGACTTGTTTGGCATCTGCAACAGGAAATATTTCACTTTTGGAGAAGAAGAAAAAATATATTTATTTGCGTTACACTTAACTAATTCGTACACTGGTAACTTAATGTTCAAGAAAAAAATATTAATTTTTATTAAAATGTTCTATTATTTTATGTTACTGATTACTCATTTATTTCAGCCCTTTGTATTCAGCATGTCTCTATAGAAATAAACTTACATTTCTATGAAAATTGAAGCTTTTTTTTTTTTGTGGCCTGCATAAACTTAAACCTTGTTTATTTGGCCTGTGTTAGCCTTTTGAGTTTGACATGCTTGGTTTGGATATTTTATTTTTGTATCAGTTTATTTCACATAGTAAATACTATTTGTTGATGAAAGGAGCAATAACATTTATATTTAAGCCAAATGAATATGGAGCTGTTTATTATCCCTTTTCAATTCTACCCCCACAGGTGATATCGCCTTATCATTTTCCTACAACCAATGAAAATATGGCACCCCTCTTAGATAGACCTGACTCATTTACCTATATATCTTTATATTCTAGGACCATCCTTATTGCCAAAGTATTCTGTACCAATTTCATTATATGAGTCAGCATAAAAATTGGGAAGATCTATTTATGTCTCTCATGTACTTGACTATTACATTTCTTTGTCACCACCACTCTTCCCAAAAAGATAGCTGAAGTTTCTTAATTGAAACCATTCAAGTATTTGAATTAGCTTATACCATGAATTTTAATAAGTCTTTATTTCATACTGGTATTTTAAACCCTGAATGAATGAGAGATTAGGTCAAAAGATCTTAAAATGTTCCCTTTTCATAAAGGAGAATTTTTAAAGAGATAAGAGTCCCTTTTCCTCTACCCCCATTTTATCAACTGCTCATTTAAGAATTACTGATCTCTCTTCTTGACAGTGGTATTATTCAGCACGACTTGATCTTCTCCCTTCAACAAACAGAATGTGTCCTCAAACCAGTTGAATCTTCAGATATGAAAATGACTCAGCTATTCACCAAAGTTGAATCAGAAGATACAAGTAGCCTCTTTGATAAACTTAAGAAGGAACCTGATGCTTTAACTCTGCTGGCCCCAGCTGCTGGAGACACAATCATTTCTTTAGATTTTGGCAGCAATGGTGGGTCTTTAGTTAATTTGTTAATTACCTAAATTGTGTCTGCTGATGCAAGCCCATTTTAACTGAACTTGATGCTAACATTTTTTTTGTTGGTAATCATTTGGACATCATGTTCTTATTTCCTTTTTCATAGTCTTCTTAAAAGTATTCGCTTAAATATTTTGCCTCTGTAATTTCTCAGCATTCCTGTTTTTGTCACATTGTTGGAAATTGTGCTTCCAAGTGTCTTTAAAGTATTTCTTCTCCTCACTTTAACTTTTCTCAACTACTCTACTATTTCTATATCCTAATGTCATATTTTCTCCACAACTTAGCAAAATTATATTGCAGTATGTATAATTGCATTAAAGGATAAATAAGCAGTCATATCAATATCAAACATTAAAAATGAAATTTGTAATTTCAAACTAGGTTAAATTTTAATGAAGAACCAGTTGGAATTACTGGGGTTTTTATGTCATGTCGATTAATAGGAGTTGTCAGTAGTGGGTTAGAAAGATAACTCAGACTTATTATTATACCATAGAATCTGTAAACGTTCTGATTAAGGATAATTAGATAACATTTTTGTTGTTTGAGTGAACTAGACAAACCTTTGGTAAAAAAGGACATATTCTATATATGTTAAAATCTAGATATTCTTTAAATTGACTGATTTTTTTCCCCCTACAGACACAGAAACTGATGACCAACAACTTGAGGAAGTTCCATTATATAATGATGTAATGCTCCCCTCATCTAATGAAAAATTACAGAGTATAAATTTGGCAATGTCTCCATTACCTGCCTCTGAAACTCCAGAGCCACTTCGAAGTAGTACTGACCCTGCACTCAATGAAGAAGTTGCATTAAAATTAGAACCAAATTCGGAGTCATTGGAACTTTCTTTTACCATGCCCCAGATTCAGGATCAGCCAGCTAGTCCTTCTGATGGAAGTACTAGACAAAGTTCGCCTGAGGTAGGTGTCCTGATGTAATAAAAGGATAAATTTCAGATTTTAATGTTCAGGAAAGAATGTATTTATAGATTTTATTCAAACATTAATTTGAGCCACATATCATGGACTTTGTGTGCATTTTAGGGACTCTTATCTCTTTAAAAATTCTCCTTTATGAAGGAACATTTTAAGATCTTTTATTAAATTACTGCAATAATTGTTAAGAGTCAGTGGAACATGGGAAAGAACTGATTTTACAAAAATGTAAAGGAAAAACTTAGATTGCTCCTCTATATCAATAAAATAAAAGTCTTGAATTTAGACACTCACAGGAAAAAAAAAACAAAAAACCTGTGTGTGCCTATGATAGGTCTAAGCCCATACATATTACCTATTGAGTTGGAGAATTGTCCAGCAGCAAAAGGCTTAAAAGGGAAAGGACACTAAACTCTGCCCAATTTAGTATAGTTTTCATTACTATTTTTAAATTCTTGGTAAGTATAACATGAAAATACCAAAACTTACAAAGAATAAATACTTAATAGCTGTTTTTATGCAAATTCTGTCAAGTAAAAGTTCTCTTGGGCATTGTTGGGCTAAGACTAAAAGTATCACATAAGGCTCTTATTTCTAAATCTAGAGTACTTCAATTTGAGAGCTTCCTGTATCTAAAACTATGCTCAAGAGTTGGGTAACAGATCTGAATATGATGACTTGATAAATGAGGCACAAATAAGCTTTAATAGGTGGTAAATAATTTCATATTCAATATCTGGCAAGATAAAAGTAGATTTGACATCTCATAGCCTTCTGGAGAACACTTCCTAATCTCTGGTTATATAGTTTGCCTAGCACAAAATGTTTTTTTGATTCTTTTTAATATATTTTATTGATTTTTTTTTAATTTTTACTTTTTCACAGAGAGGAAGGGAGAGGGATAGAGAGTTAGAAAAATTAATCAGCTTCCTTCTGCACATCTCCCACTGGGGATGTGCCTACAACCACGGTACATTGGAATCGAACCTGGGACTTTTCAGTCCACAGGTCGACGCTCTATCAACTGAGCCAACTGGTTAGGCACAAAATGTGTTTGATTCATTGCGTTTTTAATCTAAAAAAAATGTTATAGTGAGGGAGGCAAAAGCTTATGCTTAGAATACATGGCTATAATTTTTTTATTAAGAGTTCTTATTTAGAACTTTTTTAAAAAATGTTTTTATTTTAGAAAGAAAGGAAAGAAGAAAAAGGGAGAGAGAGAGAGAAACATCAATGTGAGAGAGAAACATTGATTGGTTACCTCTTGCACACACTCTGACTGGGAATTGAACCTGCAGCCTGGGCCTATATCCTGACGGAATGAAACCGACAACCTTTCATTGCATAAGACAACACTCAGTCTGCTGAGCCACACCAGCCAGGGCTTCTTGCTCAGAATTTCTAAAAGAATAGTACATTCGCCGAAACTGGTTTGGCTCAGTGGATAGAGCGTCGGCCTGTGGACTGAAAGGTCCCAGGTTCGATTCCAGCATGTACCTTGATTGCGGGCACATCCCCAGTAGGGGCTGTGCAAGAGGCAGCTGATCGAAGTTTCTCTCTCATCGATGTTTCTAACTCTCCCTCCCTCTCCCTTCCTCTCTGTAAAAAATCAATAAAAGATATATTAAAAAAAAGAAAAGAATAGTACATTCATTATGGTAAATGCAAGTAAAATACTTTAAATCTCCACACCTACCCCTCAGAGTAGCTGTAAGATTTTTAAGTAGATCACTACAGTATATGCACTCTTGGTACAAAAGTAGATTCCAGTAAGTATATCATCTTGTTGGTGGCCAGTTGGGTACCCTGTTGGAGATGAATTATTAGATGAGTTCTATTCTTTAGCGTAAACAGAATAATGCATCATTTATTCTTAATTTTTTTAATGATTAGAGGCCCGGTGAATGAAATTCATGCATTCGAGGGGGTGAGGAGTCCCTCAACCTGGACTGCACTCTCTTGCAGTCTGGGAGCCCTCAGGAGATGTCTGACGGATGGCTCAGGCCAACCATGAGCCCAGCTTCTGGCTGAGCGGCACTCCCCCTGTGGAAGCACACTGACCACCAGGGGACAGCTCCTGCATTAAGCATCTGCCCCCTTGTGGTCAGTGCATGTCATAGGGACGGATGGTTCTGCTGTTTGGTCAATTTGCATATTAGCCTTTTATTATATAGGATGTTATTATTACATATAGTCAGAAATAACCGAAGCCGGTTTGGCTCAGTGGTAGAGCATCGGTCTGCGGACTGAAAGGTCCCAGGTTCGATTTCGGTCAAGGGCATGTACCTTGGTTGCAGGCACATCCTCGGTAGGGGGTGTGCAAGAGGCAGCTGGTCGATGTTTCTCTCTCATCGATGTTTCTAGCTCTCTATCTCTCTCCCTTCCTCTCTGTGAAAAATTAATAAAATGTATTTTTTTAAAAAGAAAAAAAAAGAAATATGTATATATAGAGTTCCCCTTATCCATGGGGGCACATTCCTAGGCCTGAAATCATAGATAGTAATGAATCTTAATCTACTTCCTCAGCTCTGCTAGAAATGTGGCAGCAGTTTCTTCATTGGCATATGCAAGCTACCAGTAATTATTATATTTTCATCCCTTGTTTGCTTGCAGTAAATGGCTTATTCATTTCAGGAGATCCCTTGCTGAAGCATTCATATGGGCTCGGTGCTTTCTGGCACAACACATTGCTGTCAGATGGAATATGTTTTCTGATCATGTCTTCCACTCATAAATTTAATACCTTTACCATCTTAACTAAACATTTATGCACTATGCCTATAATTTGCAATTTAAGATGTGACAGCAAAACTAGCATGTATTTCTTTTTCCTTCACAATTTCCTGGATATAAGATTTAGTCTTACTGTAGATCTTAGCAACCTCAGTGTGTGTGTGTATTAAGAATTTATACATTTTTACTTAAAGGAACCACTGTACAGCTTCTCTCTGGCATATCTAAATTGCCAGCATCACCACTCATGGCACTTCAGACCTTATTAAGTAAAATAAAAGTTACTTTAAACATAAGCCCTACAACACTGTGACAATTGATCTGATAACCAAGATGGCTACTAAGTGACTAATGGGTAGATAATGTATATAGTGTGGATATCTTGGACAAAGGGATGATTCATGTCCGTGGCCAGAAATAGTGGGACAGTGCAAGATTTCATTACACTACTCAGAACAATGCAAATTTTAAAAGTAGGAATTGCTTACTTTTGGGATTTCCTATTTGATGTTTTCAGACCTGAGTTGTCCACAGGTAACTGAGAAATTGCAGAAAGGGAAAGCCCCGGTAAGGAGAAGCTATTGTATTAGCAAAAATTATTAAAAATTATTAAAATTGAACTTTTCACTAGTTAGGTAAAATTTGATATAACAAATGGATTTTGTTGTGTATTCTCTGAGATCTGATTGTAGAATTCTAACAAATAGCAAAACACAGAGGTTTATTCTGGGAAAGTGAATACATTTAATTCTGTTTACAGCCTACCAGTCCCAGTGAGTATTGTTTTGATGTTGATAGTGATATGGTCAATGAATTCAAGTTGGAATTGGTTGAGAAACTTTTTGCTGAAGACACGGAGGCAAAGAATCCATTTTCTACTCAGGTATATGAATTTGTTTATTATATTTTCCATTAATCTTTATTAAATTTTTCATTTAATTATTGAGTTAAACTTGTTTTTCTTTTGTGAGTTGTCATTGTAAAAACTCATGCATTTGTTGTTCTATAGGACACTGATTTGGACTTGGAGATGTTAGCTCCTTATATCCCAATGGATGATGACTTCCAGTTACGTTCCTTCGATCAGTTGTCACCATTGGAAAGCAGTTCTACAAGCCCTCAAAGTTCGAACCCAGTTACAGTGTTCCAGCTGTCTCAAACGGAAGAACCGCCTGTTACCACCACCACTACCACTGCCATCACTGATGAATCAAAAACACTTACAAAAGATGGTATGGAAGACATTAAAATATTGATTGCATCTCCATCTCCTACCCACGTACCTAAAGAAACTTCTAGTACCACAACGTCACCATATAGTGATGATCGAAGTCGGACAGCCTCACCAAACAGAGCAGGAAAAGGAGTTATAGAACAGACAGAAAAATCTCATCCAAGAAGCCCTAACGTGTTATCTGTCACTTTGAGTCAAAGGTATTTATTTATATGTAACATTAAAATTATAGCTCTTTTATTTTTTAGAAAATGTGTGTATATGGTAAATTATTTCTAAACGTAGCAAACTTTCTGATGTATATTCCTTAAAGTACATAAAATTGATACATAAATTTTGAACTTAGAATAAGTACTCTAGGAACTATTTCTAAATTAGCTTATGTATTTATTTTCTTCAAAATAGTCATATCACCTATCTGAATGTAGGATCTTCTAATACCTCTAAGAATAAAATCTAGCCAGTAAGTTCTGTAAATGTACAAAAACTAGGTTAGTTTCTTTCTTTTTTTTTTTTTTTTTTTTTTTTTCTTTTTAATTGATTTGAAAGAGGAAGAGAGAGGGAGAGAGAGATAGAAACATCAATGATGAGAGAGTATCATTGATTGGCTGCCTCCTGCATGTGCCCTTGACTGGAATCAAACCCAGGACCTTCCAGTCCACAGCCCCACATTCTATCCACTGAGCCAAACCAGCTAAGGCTGGCTTGGTTTCTTATGCTTGGTTAAATCAGGTTGGTTAATCCTCACTGCTTCTGTTTCATGGAGCACTTTTTAAGCCTGAAAAAAATGTCCTTCCTACTTAAGGGTATTTCCAATTCCATAGTGAGGCTGATGGTCTTCAGTCCTCAGTATTCACTATAAATATTTATAAGACTTCTTTTTAAATTTTATGTATAGTTATGTTATAATTGCCTTTACTTTTTTTTAAAATGCATTTTCACTGATTTCCGAGATGGAAAGAGGAGAGAGAAAAAAAATATCGATGAGAAAGAATCATTGTTTGGCTGCCTTCTGCAACTGGGCATGTGCCCTGACCGAGAATCAAACCATGATCTCCTAGTTCATAGGTCAGTGCTTAACCACTGAGCCACACCAGCCAGATATATTTTTCATTACTTATTTATAGAACATTATATTTTATAGGTCAAATAGGGTTTTAAGAACTACAGCAGGAATCTAAGCCTGATGTTATGACATTGCCTCTATGAAGTAAATTTGAGCAAATAACTGGACACCAAATACATTTTAAATTATACCTTCTGTATGTAATTTGTAATGGGATTTAACATGTTTTAAATTTAAAGCTCTAGTTACAGGAAATATGTTTTAGCTAGTCAGTGAGGCAGTATGTGTGTAGGAGAGAAATGATTCTTTTTCTACTGTGCCTAGACTGATCCAGATATCAGTAGCAATAGGAAAAGGCACTGGCATAGCCAGGGCTCATGGCATATTGCTTCTGCCTTGCATCATTGCTTTGACCTAGAGTGCTGGGAGAGGCCTTTTCCTAGACCTAAGAAAAGATCTTAGAGCTTTAGATTTAAAAAGGAGCATTTTATATTATTTTATAAATTACCATGTGACCAACTGACTTTAAAATTTAAACTCTGAGTTCCTTTAGGGCGCCATTCACCAATCTTTTGGACCTCATGGACCACCAGTGGTCCCCAGACCACCGATTGGTGACCACTGCTTTAGGGCAATGACAGTGTCTTGTTGACAGTTTAGTGGTATTAACACTTAATTCAGTACCTATCGTGTACTAGCTATTTCAATAAATGGTTATTGTGTGAATAGATGACTGAATATCCCCTATAATAATAAAAGCATAATATGCTAATTAAGCCGGACAGCCAAACATCCTTCTGGATAAAGCCTCGGCGGCTGCGAGGGCCAAGGGCAGTCATCCATGGTGGCCTGCAGCAGCAGCAGTGGGGTCATAGGGGCAGCATTGACCAGGTTGCCTCCTGCACAGAGGCCTGAAGCAGCTATAGGAGGCGGTGGCAGCTTCAGGGTGGTGGGGCACAGTGCCTTCCCCTGATGGGCCAGTTGCCTCTTGCAGAGGGAGGCCAGACTGCAGTTTAGACCCACTCCGGGCCTAAGCCATCAGTAGGATATCCCCTGAGGGCTCCCAGACTGTGAGAGGGGGCAGGCCAGTCTGAGGGACACCCCTCCTCGACCCTCCGCCGCCACCGCACCCCCTCCCCCCCTGCACAAATGTTTGTGCCCTGAGCCTCTAGTAGTAATATAATGGTGATGACAGTGACCTGTTTACAGTTTACTATTAGCTACAGGAGACTATGGATATTCAGTTTTCTGAACAACTGTATTCTTGTCAAAACCAAAGTCATCTTATCAAATCACGTTAGCAATTTTTTTTACATTAGTTCCACTATAATATGCACTAAATACCTTACGAGATGAATTTTATGAACTATGTGGAGGCTTTTTCATTACTAATTCTCTAGGTTATTATTCACAAAATCAAAGTGCTGTACTAAGCCAGACAGACAGCTTTATAGCAAAGATTAAAGATAACCATTAAAACTACTGTTACTGCCCTGGCCAGTGTGGCTCGCTTGGTTGGAGCATTGTTCCGTACACCAAAAGGTGACTATGTTTTTTTCTCACGTGGATGTTTTCCTTTCTCTCCCCCTCCATCCTTTCTTCTCTCTAAAGTCATTTTTAAAAAAAGGTGATATTTATACTATACACTGAATTATACTTCATAAAGATAATATAGTTATGTAAGAGTTTTAAAACCTGCCTGTTCTGTATATTGGAGGTTTTATAAAACTGCATGTGGGAAGGAGAGTAATATATTACCTACCCATATACATTCTCAATTTTATGTGAAACAGAGCAAGGAGCCATTTATGATTAATGTATTGATGGGGGAGTTCTTGAGAAGATAAAGTAGCTATGATAAAATTGATGTATTTTAATCAAGTAGTTCTTCACTATTTAATACTAATTTTAGGTGCAGGTTTGGTAACATACCAATACTGAAGGCAATTTGACTTAGGAGGAAGATCACTGGGGAAGGAAGGGGGGACATGGGTCTAAAGAGATCTAGAATATACTTCCATATCCACAACTAATTAGCAGTGGGACTTTGAGGTAGTTACCTAACAGGCCTCAGATTTCTCATTTATAAAATGAGTATTACTACCTTTGGGATTGGAATGAAATTAAAATAAACTAATGAACATTAAATGTTTTATGAACTGAAAATGCTGTGCAAGTGTGAAATTAATTTCGTATCACGTCCCAAGATTATCTGAATTATATTAGATGGAATGAAAAGCCAATATTTAAGTTTTTGACTTACAAAAATATCAATCTAGTTCACTTTGATTAGGGAAATGCAAATTTTAGGATATTTTGTTTCAAAAATTGAGCTTTAGCATTAAGTGTCTGCCCCCTGGTGGTTAGTGCGCTTCCACAGCCAACCTCCTGTTGCCAGCCAACCTCCCGAAATCCCTCCCCTCAGCCAGCCAGCCCCTATCAACCCCAATCTGCCCCAATCACCAGCCAGGACAAGGGACCCCACTGGTACACACATTTGTTCACCATGCCTCTAGTACAAATATATTTTGTTGAAAAAAGCTATTTGGATAATTCTTTAAAAAATAATAAAACAACCATATTTTTATTAAAACTTTTTTTCAGATCTACTGTTCCTGAGGAAGAACTAAATCCAAAGATACTAGCTTTGCAGAATGCTCAAAGAAAACGAAAAATAGAACATGATGGTTCACTTTTTCAAGCAGTAGGAATTGTAAGTGTTTTGCTTTTTCTAGTCTAGCTAATGTTCTATTTATAAGTTACATATATAGATAATTCCATGTTTCTTCTAAATACTAAAGTTGTATTTTTAGAATTAAACATTGATCTTTTTTTTTTTTTCTTCCACTTTGTACACTCTCTTAAAAACAACGAATACGTTTTTGGTATAAAAATTTCAGATAATACAGATATATTTTGAGTAAAAAGTGATGTTCTCCCCTTTTTCCACCTAACATCACCACCTGCCTTGTTCTCTTTCATTTAAGTTAATTTCCCCTTCTTATTCCCAAAGCATAATAGTTTTCTTAAGTCATTGTTCATCAATAACCCATACCGGTATTTTAAGTTAACCAGATTAACTGGAAAGAATAACAGAGAAGTTGTTAGCCATAATGTATGACTAATAAATGTCTTGATCATAGTAGTGCTAAAAGAAAGAATTAAAAACAATTAAGGGTAGTATTTGATTTAAGAAACCTGCCTTCTCCGTGTTATTAAATTTGCATTGATATCAAAGTTTTTTGGTGTGTTTTTTTAAACAACATAGTAAAATTGAAATAAGTTTCCTCTTTTTAGGGAACATTATTACAGCAGCCAGATGATCCTGCAACTACCACATCACTTTCTTGGAAACGCGTAAAAGGATGCAAATCTAATGAACAGAATGGAATGGAGCAAAAGACTATTATTTTAATACCCTCTGGTTAGTTTATTATTTTTGTCCTAACTATCAATCGGAGAATTATATGGCTTTTTATTTAGGAGCTTTGTTCTAAGTGAGAGTGGTTTTCATTCCTTAGCAAGATTAAAAAGTAAGGTAGCATTTTATCTAGTGTCTGTAACAGCTATTTCAAGATAGAACTTTATTTTTTAATAATTATCGTTGATATGTCTATGTATTATTAACATTGAATAGAAGCTGAACCTTGTAAATATTTATGCTTTTTTTCTAAATTGATTTAGCACTCCTTTGTTCTTCCTTGTATCCTGTAAACATTTATGATTTAGTACCAGTAACACTTGATTGCACTTACTTGTTTACATAGCGATGGTTTACATCATAGACTAAAAACTCTTCCAGAAAGTTTATTTGCTTTATGTTCCCAATGCCTAGCGCATAATGGGTGTTTAATAATAATCATTGACTAGATGAATGAATACTTAGATATCTCTTTGTTTTCCAGACTTAGCATGTAGACTCCTTGGGCAATCAATGGATGAGAGTGGATTACCACAGCTGACCAGTTATGATTGTGAAGTGAATGCTCCTATACAAGGCAGCAGAAACCTACTGCAGGGTGAAGAATTACTCAGAGCGCTGGATCAAGTTAACTGAGCTTTTTCATAATCTCATTCCTTTATTTTGGACACTGGTGGCTCATTACCTAAAGCAGTCTATTTATATTTTCTATATCTAATTTTAGAAGCCTGGCTACAATACTGCACAAACTCTGTTAGTTCAGTTTTGATCCCCTTTTTACTTAATTTACGTTAATGCCAGATCACAGACAGCACATTTTCACAGTTCTTTGGTATTTAAACCATTGCATTGCAGTAGCATAATTTTTAAAATGCACCTTTTTATTTATTTATTTTGGGCTAGGGACCTAGTTTGTCTCTTATTGAATTATTTTTAATAAGATGCCAATATAATCTTTTAAGAAGGCAGTAAATAACCTTTCATCATGATCAGCTTGAAAAATTTTTACTCAGTTTTTCACATTTACATAAACAATAGTGTTTTGCCAGCAGTACATGGTAGCCTCAATTGCACATATATTTTCTTAAAAAATACCAGCAGTTACTCATGCAATATATACTGCATTTATAAAACTAGTTTTTAAGAAGAACTTGTTTTTGGCCTATGAAATTGTTAAACCTGGAACATGATATTGTTAATTATATAATGATTCTTAAATGCTTATATGGTTTATTATTAAATGGGTAAAGCCATTTACATGATATAGAAAGATGCATATATCTGGAAGGTATGTGACATTTATTTGGATAAAATTCTCAATTCAGAGAAATGAATTTGCTGTTTGTATAGTAACTTTGCCAGCTCAAAAACAAAAAAATACCCTATCTGTAGTTGTGGAAATTTATGCTAATATTGTGTAATTGATATTAAACCTAAATGTTTTGCTCACCCTGTTGGTATAAAGATGTTTTGAGCAAATTGTGTACAAACAAACAAATCATGCTTTGTTAGCAAAATTGCCTAGTGTGTTAATTTGCTCAAAATTTGATGTTTGGTTTTATGCACTTTGTCGCGATTAACATTCTTCTGTTTTGATATAGATTTCAATAATTGAGTGATTTTAGAGGTATTGTTTTAGAAATATATAGTTGTCACAGTAAATATCTTGTTTTTCTATGTGCATTGTACAAAATTTTTGTTCCTTTTGCTCTTTGTGGTTGGATCTAACACTAACTGTATTGTTTGTTACTTCAAATAAACATCTTCTGTGGACCAGGCCCTCCTTGATCAGCTTTTAAGTTAATGTTTATTTCAATACCTCTGACTCCAAAATTGCCAACAATTTAAGTATTTTATGAAGATTACATTGACATGGATTGGTTATTTCAAGTAAAATCTATAATAATAAAAGCATAAAATGCCAATTAGACCTGATGACTTTCCGCACGAAGCCAGGACTGTGAGGAAAGCCCAGATCCTGGGTGCAATGGGCAGCCAGAGAAAAGAAGGCCTACTCTTGCATGAATTTTGTAGTAATTTTAATAGTTTAATATGAATGGGGTGGGTGAAACAAATCCTATAAACATAGTGTTATAAGGGCTACTAGAATGTTCTCTAAAGATTTCTACCCCTGGCCGGATAACTCACTTGGTTAGAGCATCTTCCCAAAATTGTGGGTTCAATCCCAGGTCAGCACACATACAAGAATCAATCAATGCATAAATAAGTGGAACAGCAAATCAATTTATCTCCATTCCTCTCTAAAATCAACTAAAATTTTTTTAAAATAATAAAGATTTCTAATCTATTTTATAGATAAAGAAATTTAGACCTCAAATGGTAAATGATTTGTCTAAGCCTTAAAGGTAATAAATGCCATTTAAACTTAGGTCTTCTTACTCTAATATGAAACGGAACTAACCTTGTTTTTGTTTTTATGATACTGTATATTTAAATTTTAAAAAATAGCTTTGTTTTTCTTCCATATATTATGAAATTGCTGTTATTTTCTGACTATAAAAGTAATACATTCTCAATTTTTAAAAAGCATAAAGAGGCCCTAACCAGTTTAGCTCAGTGTATAGAGCGTCGGCCTGCAGATTGAAAGGTCCCAGGTTCGATTCCAGTCAAGGGCATGTACCTTGGTTGCAGGCACATCCCTAGTAGGAGGTGTGCAGGAGGCAGCTGATCAATGTTTCTCATTGATGTTTCTAATTCTTCCTCTCCCTTCCTCTCTGTAAAAAAAAAAAAAAATCAATAAAATATATATTTTAAAAAAACATTTTAAAGAAGCAGAAAAATCACTGAATCACTGTACTGGGAAGTAACTGCAAATTACTTTTATGGACAAACTATATAGATAATGCCAGATCTTAGATACTATCTATAGCCTGAGGTTATAGGAACAAAATATGCTGAACAAAATAAACCACATATCTTAGGGGACTGTTTTTATTTTAAAAATGAAGAAAATGTGATTTCAGTTACGAGAAATTTTTGGAACAAACGTTTACAATACTAAAAAGTCCAATATTTGGGGGCACTTCACATATATTTATAGTATACTTCACTATAAATAATATGATCCAAGTTCTTGTGTATTTAACTAATTACAGATTGCACTAGAGGTGGTATTTCAGAATAAAGTAGTTTAATATTCCCAGGTCAAAATAAAAAAATATTTTTCTGATAGCAAGTTATCTTGAGTTGAAAACTAGAAGTTGATGTAGTTTTCAAATATTAATGGTCAGATTATGTAATGACCGGGTGTGAGAAGACGACTTGTGAGAGCAATGATTTAGAAGAGAAAGCCACCTTTTAACAGTCAGTAGAACTGGAAGAAACAAGAACCTCTGGTCACGCCAAAAACAAACCCCATGGAGTGCTTGAGGCTGAAATAGCAGAAACAGCCCTTCCTTCCCAGCATGCATTGTTTTCTCTCTCCCTCTCTCAGAATCACAGACTTTTAAAAAATATCTGTATCTATGAGTATAACCTTACCCTAACAATTACAATTCTATAATAGCTCTTCTCCCCTTAATGTTCCTGTCCCCTTCTATGCATGCCTACTTCCCGTTCTCTGATACTTCTGTGAATGAATGACCATTGTATTATTTTCACACTTGAAGAAAGTATGGTAAAGAATATGGTGTACTTTGTTCATGTGTTCTAGAGCCTCATTATTAACCTTGGAACAGGAATTAGTTCCCCGGATAGCTAGCACTGCTTGGTGAAATGACACAAAGATTAAGAATTAAAATGAAGCTAACCTCTGATGAGTATTATATGCTAGACTTTGTGCTAAGAGTTCTGCATGTTATCACAATCTTAAAAAAGAACCTATTGCATTAGTACTTGCATCTCGCTCTGTGGATGAGAAAATAGTCTTGGAGAGGTGCCCTAAGTTTAGAGCATTTGAGCCAGCCATCAGTAGTAACTCCATAGCGGCTGGTGCTGACCACCTTACAGTGCTACTCAGTCCAGAACATACCCTTTCCCTCATTAACTATAAACAGCAAACAGGAAAAAAACAATGGGGTGTAGGCACTGAAGGTGTCCCTTGAAGGTAATGAAACCATACAGAGCTTTGAGGGGATGTCCTAAGAGGAATGGCAAGACAAATGGAAATTAATAAAAGTGGTATTTTGATATGCTATTTAGCTGGGCTTTAGTTTGAACTACAGGTTCAAAAAACAGTCTGAATTATGTCTCCATAATGTCTGGTTATGGAGACATCAGGTAGATGAGATAATGTATGAAAACAACGTATGACCCGCCATAGGAATGTATAGTATGGTTCTCCCAGAATCGTTTGACTTAATTTTCTAATAAGTTTGTATAACTTCACAATTATTGCAAATAGTTCCCCTTTTCTTGTTTGTTTCATTGCAAATCTTGATTTCCCCTAAAACCTTTAAAACACAAAAAGGATGGACTTTAAAGTTACTGGCTTCCCAGAATCTAAAAAATTATAAAATTTCAAATTTCCATTGCAGCAACATCAAAAACAAGTTGCAAAGAATATGGATTTACTTTATTTTTTTTAACCATTGAGTTTGGTTAAATAAAACCTTTGCAAACATACTGCTAGCTGGAACCAACAAAAATGTGAAGAACATTTTTACTCGGTTTTTTTTTTTAAGTCACTTACCACTTTGCTCGTATATTTCATCCCTTTAAATAGCGCTGCACCCGTCGTCCCCAGAGCATTTTACCGAGAATCAGTGCAATCTGTAGAATTGATACGAACTAGTTCTACCTGTAAGATAAACGCTACACCTCGCCACCAATCTGAAAAGCCTTCTGGAGCTTTGTTGTGTTCACACCTTTCCGAGGTTTGGGCATAAGTTTTATTCTTACCTGTAACGGACGGTTTTACCCAAGACGCTGCTCAGACACCCGATCTCCTCGTATTAATTTTATTTCTTTTATTCCCTCGTCTGGGCTCCATTCCTGCACGGAGAGGGAAGGCAGGTGCCTGAGAGCGGCAGTGGTCAGACCCTCCGCAGCAAAGGACCAAGGATGCGGAAGGGACCTGGCATCCCTGTGGTTCCCGGTGCCCGCGGTACTACATAAGGAAGCGAAACCCGAGCCGCGGGGCTAAACTTCCCCTCCCCGCCCCGCCCCGCCCCGCCCCCCGCACGGAGGCCCCGCCCCGGTACGTGCTGGGCCGCAGCACCGCAGCCCGCCCCGCCCTGCGCTCCGCGCCCCCTGGGTGTGCGGCCGGCGCAGGGCCCCCGCGTCCACTCCCGGCTGCTTGCTGCCTACGTGTGTGAGCGCATGTGGGGAGCCGGCGGGCACAGGAGGGTCAGCGCTGCCCTTTGTCTCCGGTGACTTGTCCGATTCTGGTGCCTAGCCCTTCCGCAAACTTATTGTTTGGATGGGTGGTCAGTCGGGGCGGAATAGGTGTTGCCCTGGAACTGTATCCGAAATGGCCAATCTAATGCTTTGGGGTGTGAAGCTGTTGTGCTTTGTGGAATAGAAAGAAATATCTGAGGTCTCCTAACAGGATGGACCTTGGTTACCTGTATAACAGTTGGTTTTTTAATGTCATCTACTAATCTCATAAAAAAAAAAAAAAATAGAGGAGTTTAAATATATTCCCTTTAAGGCATCCAAGGACAGTGTCTCAGGTGAAGGAAATGGAAACTTTAGCAGCCCCAGTGTGTGTTTTTTGCTGTTGATTTGATTGTCATGTGTATTTTTTTTTTCATTTGTTGTGTGCCTGCACCTTATTGAGGCCAGATATTGAGAGTTCTCTGGGAGAAGATAGTCTTGACGGATAGAAGGGAGGTGAGTTTATGGGTACAGAAAAGCCTGGGGCTCTAAAATAATCGGCTGTAATTAGTGTTAGGATTGCGCAGTTAGTTGTAAAGTACAAAGGCAGGTGTTTAGAATAAATAACCTCCCCTCTGCATCGTCATGGGTGACTACAATATACATTTTAAATTGTAAATTGTTTTCTAAAGGGAAATTTATTGTTTATGGGTTATCAAATAGAATTTAACAGAAAATAATGGCCTGTTTTTTAAGAGGTAGACAAGGTGTTTTAATTACATATTTTACTAATAAAAACTGATCGGTAGCCTCAATCATGGTGTGTTTGATTGTAAAGGTGCCATATCAGGAGAGTAATAAACTCTTTTGGCTTTCTGAACCCTTAATAAATCAATATAAAATGGTGATTCTCTACAGAGAAGAACAAGCTGGGGTGTGTATGGGGGGATTGTACAGTGTTTAATCACAATGGGTAATGCCTTTTAAAACATTGAGGAAGCATATAGCTTAGCACAGTGGTCGGCAAACCAAAGCTTACGAGCCACATGCGACTCTTTGGCCCCTTGAGTGTGGCTCTTCCACAAAATACCACGTGCGGGTGTGCACGTACAGTGCGATGGAAACTTCGTGGCCCATGGGCAGAAGTCAGTTTTCGGCTCTCAAAAGAAATTTCAATCATTGTACTGTTGATATTTGGCTCTGTTTTTTTTTTTTTTTTTTTAAATATATTTTATTGATTTTTTACAGAGAGGAGGAGAGAGGGATAGAGAGCTTTCTTTCTCATCGTCAATGAGAAAGAAACATCGACCAGCTGCCTCTTGCACACCCTCTATCAGGGATGTGCCCGCAACCAATGTACAGGCCCTTGACCAGAATCGAACCTGGGACCTTTCAGTCGAAGACTGATGCTCTACCACTGAGCCAAACCGGTTTCGGCGATATTTGGCTCTGTTGAATAATGAGTTTGCTGACCGCTGGCCTAGCAAGTAAACTAGACTGTGAAGTCAAATCTATTTTTTAGAGATTTTTAAATAGTAAAAATTTATCTTAGGTAGATAGAAGCATTATCTTAGGTAGAAACTCCTTTCCAAATATTTCTGGATAATATTTGGTCTTTGAAATAGATTTCAGTGTTTCTACACACAACTGCAGTGACAAACTTTAATAGGAGCACCAAACTAGCTGCAGGGTGAGCCATTATAAACTTTTGCCTCACTGCCTGGTCTGCTTGTAGAATATTTAAAGCAACAAAAAACAAAACAAAACAAAACAAAACAAAACAAAAAAAAACGATGTTACCTGCTAACTCTGCAAATCAGTGAGGAGCCAGCTCAGCCAATATGTCTCTGGGCAAATTCACCTGCCAATATTTTGCTACCCCTGCGAACTTCCGCTTTCTTACTTTACGGCTCATTTTTTTTTTTTTTACCTTCTTTGATCATTTATGTATCTTATCTCCCTAAACTCATAGTTCCATCAGAGCATGCTTCCCATCTGATTCATCTTTGTTACAAAGCCTCCTCTGCTTGCAAGGACAGCTCACACATGACTGAAGTGGGAGAGGAATTCCTGTGAATAGGAATCAGAGTTGCAGAATCGGGACTACAGGATCATGTTAAACAAAAACCTTCACTGCCCGAAACTTGTGTGAAAGAGTTTGTTGAGCCATATGCCAGCTATATAGCCAGGCCCTGGGACATGCCGTCTAAACCAGTGGCAGCAGGGCCAGTTGGAAAATACACACACATCTGCCATTCTGGAGCTGATGGAACCCTTTTATACAATGAGTTTAGGGAAGTGAGATGTAAGTTGTTTTTGAAAGAATTGACATTGACTGTAGATAAAGGGGTGGGATAAAGAAAAGATGAAGTAGGGGCAGTTCTAGGATAGGTGCCTAATCCATAAGGAAGAAATATTTTCTTTTTTTTTTTTTTTTATTAGTTGTGGGCAAGAGTCAGAAAGTTCATGTATAAAGAAGGACTTGGTGGTTTCTGATTTGTTCAGTTTCAACAAACATTCAGGAATGTGAATACTTTTTCTTAGTTTTAGCACACATATTAGCTGAGTGCTTCCATTGTCTCCCACTCTCCAATCCACTGTAATTTAATTTAGGACAGTGGTAGGCAAACTCATTAGTCAACAGAGCCAAATATCAACAGTACAATGATTGAAATTTCTTTTGAGAGCCAAAATTTTAAAACTTAAACTTCTTCTAACGCCACTTCTTCAAAATAGACTCATCCAGGCCGTGGTATTTTGTGGAAGAGCCACACTCAAGGGGCAAAAGAGCCACATGTTTGCCGACCACCAATTTAGGACATTTATCTCTTGCCAACCATTTTCTAGCCCTCCCAGTGAAATCCATTCAATGAACAATTACTGAGGGTTGAGTAAGTCCAAGATGTTTGCTTTTGCCCTGAATCTTTGTGTGCCCTCAAATTCATATGTTGAAACTTAACCTCCAAGATGGTTAGTATTAGGAGCTGGGGGCCTTTGGGAGGTGATTAGATCATGAGGATGGCACCCTCATGAAGGGGATTCATACCCTTATAAAAGAGGCTCCAGGAATTTCCATTGCCCCTTTGGCCATGTGAGGATGCAATGAGAGAGAATCATTGATCAGCTGCTCTTGTATGCCCCACACTGGGAATCGAGCCCACAACCTAGGCATGTGCCCTGACCAGAATCAAACCGTTGATGGGTCCTCATTCACCCACTGAGCCACTTTGGCTGGGTCCTGGGCTTTTCTATCATACTAGAGGCTCAGGGCACACCAAATCATGCACGGTATGGGTCCCTAGGCCTAGCCTGGCTTCCATTGCACGGCTTCTGCCACCCTGGGACTCTAGGTGAAGCTTCCTGCCCCTGGATGCTCTAGGGTGCCCATGGCCCCTCCACTGCTCCAGAAAACTATCCCAGCCCTGCCCTGCTCTGTGAGGCTCCCCTCCCCCCAACTTCTACCACAAATGCTCTGTGAAACTCCCCTGCCCCACCACTGAGTCATGAAACTCTCTGCCCCCTGGGGTGACTGCTTCGCTAAGCTCACAGCCACCCTGCCCAGCAGCACACTACGCTGCTCAACAGTCCCCAGTCCCACCCCGCCTGCACCCCCTTTTGGGGCTGGAGAGAGGTGGACTGAGAGGTGCTCCATGTACTTCATGGTGACCAGTCACCCGTTCAGTCGGGAGGCCACCTAGCTCGCTCGCTTGCTCTCTCTCTCTCTCTCTCTCTCTCTCTCTCTCTCTCTCTATATATATATATATATATATATATAAATAATCAGGCTACGATTATCCTGAAAAATAAAACAGCATGTCCTGCAATCAGAGAATGGTGAAAAGTACAGGGATAAGCTAGGAGGTTGGTGTGTACTCAAAGCCAATTTAGCCATATAATCAATAAGTATCTATACTGTATTTTTGTGTTGTTGTTAAGCACTGTGCTAAATGTAGCTTAGGGTAGGTGGTGAGGAGATATTTACAAAACAGTTTCTTAAGAGTGTTTGCAGAAGACTGCTAGGGTTCCAAGGAGAGAGCCACACAGCTCCCTATTGTGCGGTTATAGACTAAGAGCATGAGTCCAGTTCATTTTCCTAGTAAACCCTCTTTACATCCTCTGGCCTCGAGGGGGTGGGCTGAGGCTCTGCGCTGTTCTTCCCCAGCTATAAAAGTTGGCTTTTGTCCCTCGGCCGCTTTAAGGGAGAGTTGATCCTAGGGCTAAGGCCCATTTTCATAAGCTAGCCCAGTGGTCGGCAAACTACGGCTCGCGAGCCGCGGGCTGCCGCTCTGTTGACAGATGAGTTTGCCGACCACTGAGTTAGCCTGATGTAGACCTGATTCCTTCGTGGGCTCGCAGACACTGGAGATGTACACATCTTCAAAGAACCGAAAAGGACTGATCTTAATCCCGTACCAACGGAGAGGTGAGCGCTACACGCCGCGCACGCGCAGTAAGCAGCGAGGCTCGGCGCTCGGTCCGGCTGGAGGTGGGGCGAAAGGAGCCGGACGTGACGTCACGGAGCGCGCCCGGTGTCAGGTCGTAGGAGGCGGGGCGTCCGGGCTGCGTTTCCTCGGCTGCTGCCGCGGGCTGGCCCGCTCGCCGGGCGCTCGGGCTTCGCAGCCATGGGGGCCCCTCCGGGCCTGCAGGCCGACTTCGAGGAGCTGCTCAGCCGCTTCCAGGACATGGACAGCGTGCGCTTCGAGGACTTCTCGGAGCTCTGGAGGAGCATGAAGTTTGGCACCATCTTCTGGTGGGTGTCTGCCGTGCGCCGCCCGCCTCTGTCCCGTGCAGTCCTCTCTCCGCCTCCCTCCCGCCTCCCGCCGCCCCGGTGAGGGCTGGAGAGGTGGCCTCTCCGAAACCCCCCTCCACGTCTCCGGGTCTCCTCCGGTGCCCCGGCGGCGCGCTCTCCTTGGCCCATTTCCTAGGCTTCGGTCGCATCCTTCTGCGGCCTCTTCCCGAACATGTATGTCTGCCTGGCCGCTCCCTACACCCTCCTCTCCGCTCCTCCCTTCTCCACTGCCCCAGCCTGGCCGAGGGCCCTATCGCTTGTCCTTCTCCAGCCCGGTTCTTCTAGAGCCCCCGTACTTCAAAACAAAAGAAACACCCAGCAAGGACAAGAAGCACGATTGAATTCACGTTACCTATAACAGCCAGAGTTCTCTTTCTAAAATGCACACTTGATCCTGGCGCTCCCTTGCTTGCAGCCCTTCCGTGGTTTCTATAGCCGTGAGGACACAGCTCCAGTTCCCTAACGTGGTTGGCCAGACCCTCTGTGATTGGCCTCTGCCCTACTCTGCAGCTTCATCCACCAATCCCCCCCTCGCGCCCTCTCGTCTCCAAACTCTGCAGGTGTTTGTGGTCCTCTGCCTGGAGCATTCCCCTACAACACCCTTTTGTCTGCCCACCGTATTCCTCACTCAGATTTAAGTTCAAATGACAGTTCCTCATGGAAGCCTTCCTTCACCCTTCTATGCATGCCAAGTAAGGGGTCCTGCCCTTTTTTTCCCCCCTGCAGCATTCTGCTTATTTTATCTCTCAACTACATTTTATTATAAGTGCGGAGTTTAAAAGACAGTAGTAGGGTTTAAGAGCACAGATTACGGAGCCCACCTGGCTAATTTGAATCAGAGTCCACCTACTGTGACTTTTGGTAAGTTACTAGCCTGAGCTTCCTTGCCTGTGAAAGAGGGACAACGGTAATACCTTGTAGTGTAGTTCTGAGGATTCAATGAGGTAATTAATATGTGTTAAAGTGGCCCTCATTATTGCTATTATTTTTAATATTGCCCTCCATTACACAGAGCTCTGTGAGGACAGTAACTGGATGCATCTGGTATCCGTTAGCATAATACATATAATGCTGAAAAGGCTAAGTAATTGAATGAATGAGTTCTTGGGATTAAAACGTTGCTGAATAAAATGGGAAAGTTACCTTTTTTCCTCTCTGTTGATGTAAAATAATTACCTACGTAGTTTGTACATTGCAGGGGATGGAGGGTGGAGAGCTGCTTGTTGTACAGTTAATGATAGGAGAGAAACTTTTTTTTAAAAAATATATTTTATTGATTTTGTACAGAGAGGAAGGGAGAGAGAGAGTTAGAAACATCAATGAGAGTCATTGATCAGCTGCCTCTTGCACACCCCCTACTGGGGATATGCCCGCAACCAAGGTACATGCCCTTGACCGGAATCAAACCCGGGACCCTTCAGTCCCCAAGCCAACGCTCTATCCATTGAGCCAAACCGGTCTTGGCGAGAGAAACTTTTTTAATAGCTACTACATGTAATGCATTTATAGCTTAATGTATTTAATGCATAGGACAACTCTGAAAAGCTGGTATAATGGATGTTTTATAGATGAGGAAAATGAGGTTTAAGGAGGTAAAGTAATTCTCCCTGATCACACAGCTAGTAAGTAGATGGTAGAGCAGATATGGAAACCTGTATGTTTGCCTGTTTGCAAAACCCATGAACTTTCACTGTAACCCTCTTGGGAAATGTGGTAGTTCAGGAACATTTGGCTGGGGTTACCTCATTTTTTAGCTAGTGAGAAAAAACTAAAATGAAGGGATAAATAGAGACCACATGAGGAGTAGGGGCTTTTTTTTTTAGAAGTCACTTTGGTTGCCTGTACTTAAAGTAGGTATTTTGCATCCTTTCATTGTATTGATTATTTGAAGAGCTCAGGCTTTGGGAGTAAAGTGGAGTCTATGTTCCTATCCTGCTCCTGTTCCTTGTTAACTTTGGTGAGCTTTTGCCCTGAAGAATTGAAAGGAGGGGGTGGAATGTATTTGTGGTATCTAACTTTTTTTTTTTTTTTTAATCTAGGACAAAGGAGGTTTAATGTGAATCCCTGAGTGTACTGTGGAAAATATCCATTATATATTAAAATACATGTAGCATGTATATTTTATTCTGTAACAATCCTGCTTATTTTGATATAGAAATTCTTAACCAGGAATAATATGCATGCCCCACCCCCTTTGCTCCCTAATTCAGCAAGTCACATTGATGCTTTATGAAGTTGCATCGTGTTTATCTAGTGTACACCTGTGCCTCGGAGGAAATACAACTAAAGATTAGGTCTTAGTGAAATAAGCCAGTCAATGAAAGAGAAACACCACATGACCTCACTCATTTATGGATAATAAAGAACATTATAAATTGATGAACCAAAAGATAGATATAGAGACAGTAAAGCAACAAGCAGACTGTCAAATTACAGCAGGGAGGGTAGGGAGATCTGGGGGAGGTAATAGATCAACCGAAGGACTTGTATGTATGCATATAAGTACAACCAATGGACACAAACTGGGGAGGGAGGGCATATATGGGAGTGGGAAGGGGCATTGGTAAGATATATACACATACAATAATTCAATAAAAAATAAAATAAAATTAGTGGTAGATGAGAAGGCTTGCAAGCGAAGATCCTGATGAATTCTCATAGTAACCTATTATTCCCATGTGAAGGTGTGGGAATAGGGTTAGAGAATATTTTGTTATATAATGACAGGAAGGGAACACTGTTAAAGTAAATAAAAAATTCTTAGTTTCGCTTAAAAAAAAAAAAAAGATTAGGTCTTTGTGCTTGAATCAGGAAGGGATTAAATATGGAACACCTGCCGAAACCGGTTTGGCTCAGTGGATAGAGCGTCGGCCTGTGGACTGAAGGGTCCCAGGTTCGATTCTAGTCAAGGGCATGTACTTTCGTTGCGGGCACATCCCTAATAGGGAGTGTGCAAGAGGCAGCTGATCGATGATTCTTTCTCATTGATGTTTTTAACTCTCTATCCCTCTCTCTCACTCTCTGTAAAAAGTCAATAAAATATATTAAAAAAAAAAAAAAGGTATGGAACACCTACTCCATTTCTAGCAGCTACTAGAATATACCTCTTGTAATTTTTGTTCATTATGTATTTACTTAAAGTCATAACTTATTTTCTCTTTGTTTCCTAGTGGCAAAATGAGAAATTTAGAAAAGAACACATTTACAAAAGAAGCTTTAGCTTTGGCTTGGCAATATTTCTTACCTCCATACGCCTTCCAGATCAGAGTTGGTGCTTTGTATCTGTTGTATGGATTATATAACACCCAACTGTGTCAACCAAAACAAAAGGTAAAACTTGATGAGTTGTTTTCCACTAGCAGAAACACTAAACGGGTACAATATTTTTGCAATAAACTTGATGTATGCAGAAATGCCATTGTTGCAAAATATAAAACATCTGTGAAAGAAGATTTACATGTAGTAACTACTTTTTTTTTTCTTCTTGTTTGCAGATTAGAGTTGCCCTGAGAGACTGGGATGAAATTTTAAAATTTCAACAAGATTTGATAAATTCAGAACATTTTGACGTAGCCTATATTTTTAGGAAGCTACGACTAGACAAAGCATTTCACTTTACAGCAATGCCCAAATTGGTATGTTACCTAAAATAAATTGTTTCTTCAAAAGGAGAAATTATATTTCATTGTCCATAAAGTACCTCAGTCTCCATAATGTGGAAAGATTATTATATAGTTTCCAATATGTGTAGAAAGGCTTCCTAAAATAGGAGAAAGTGCTTTCTGTTACTTTTTGTTGCATTCAAAATCCAGGCTCTGTTTTTAAATGCAGTGTATTTCCGAATGCCATCTGTTAGGCAGATTGTTAGGAGAGGACATGAAATTCAGTATCTGCATTTGTTCATTCTTTATTCAAACATCAGAGACGATGCGGCTGAAAGAGGACCAAAGAATTTTAATGTCAGTTGGTGAAAAGCTGAAACTTCCACTAATAAAATATAATATTTCTTTGATCTTACGACAATTGAGAAACTAGATTAAAAGAACACTAGGTTCTAGTTCTGGCTCTGTCATCATCTGGCAAATATGGAACTTCTTTGAATATCTGAATCTGTAAGTACTTGGCATGGTGTCTTAAGGATTGTCTCAAAAGTCTAACAGTTTTTTAAAAATGGATTATTTATTAAATATGTACTTAGTGCTGCTTTTGTTTCATCCATGTTTACTGATAGACAATTTTTGCTGCTGTCTAACTTATTTTTATACTTAAAAATATACTTTAAAAGACATTCATTATCAAATAGCTGTCATTTAGAATGAAGAAAAAAGTTCATCGAACTCAAGTTACGGAAGAATTTAAGGAACCAAATGATCGTGTAATGAAACTTATCAATTCTGATGTATTAGAGGTAAATTTCCTTTATTTCTTGAAATTTAAAAATAAATTGTTTTATTGTTAACTATATATTTTGGATACTGAAAAATTTTGAATGATTTTAACCATAGAATGAATATTATTTTCTCTAAAGTATCAGGAATAATACACCCTAAATATATCAAAGTTTATGGAATAAATCACAAGATACAGTAAGAAACAAAGATGTGGAAGACTGGATTTCAACTCCAGATATTTAGGTTCAGATACTGAAACCACCATTTGTATTTGATTTTTTAGGTAGATGATAAAACAGGAATTTAAAGTGACTTTATTTTTTTTTAACAATGTGTATTTATTTCCTAAGTTCCTTTTTACAATGCTTATTTGAAAGCCCACTGTTGAAAACTAGGAAGATTTAAGAGAAGATAGGCACAAAGACCTATTTTTTAGGGTTATTGGAGAGGAGGGTCTGAGGACCAGGCTACAAGATGGCTACTCTTAGAAGCTTCTAGAAATCGAGTACTCTGAAGGCATCCTCACTTTATCTCACATCTTTGGCTCATCACAGATCTGCTTTGGGAGCCTTTTCTCTCAATTCTTCTGTTAATTCTATTTGTCATGACCTTGACTAGCCTTTGACCCATACTCATTGATAATCCTTAAATTTAATAATTTTCTACTTGGAAATGCTTTTTTGTCTCTATGTCAGCAGACCTGAATTCTGGTCATGATTCTGCCACTCATTAGTTTTAGTTTTGTGGTTAAGGAGGCATATAAAATGAAAAGGATAGGATATTGAATCAAACATCTGATTTTAAAAAATATATATTTTATTGATTTTTTTTTACAGAGAGGAAGGGAGAGGGATAGAGAGTTAGAAACATTGATCACCTGCCTCCTGCACACTCCCTGCTGGCTATATGTCTGCAACCAAGGTACATGCCCTTGATCGGAATCGAACCTGGGACCCTTGAGTCAGCAGGCCTACACTCTATTCACTGAGCCAAACCTGTTAGGGCAAACATCTGATTTTTAATTCGAACTCTGCTACTTAAATATGACCTTTAGCTAGTTGTTTTATTTATAAGTCTTTTTGTTTCTCATTTATACAATTAAAATAATGGCCATTATGTGCTGAATTTTCAACATGTACCAGGAATTATGTTAAATATTTATGTTATCTCTCTAATTATCATAGTAACCTTGCAGAGGAGGTGGTATTTTCCTGATTTTAAAAACAAGGAAACTAAGAGAAGTTATATAATTTGCAAAAAAGTAAGGTGCAGCTTGGCTGGTGTTGCTCAGTGGTTGAGAGTCCACCGATGAACTAAGAGGTCACCAGCTTAATTCCCAGTAAAGGCACAAGCCCAGGTTGCTGGCTTCATCCCCAGTAGGGGATATGCAGGGGGCAGCTGATAGATGTTTCTCTCTCATCGATGTTTCTCTCTCTCTATCCTTCTCACTTCTCTCTAAAAAATCAATAAAAACATATTTAAAAGTAAATAAATAAAGTAAGGTATAGACACTGGATTTGAATGTCCAAGTCTATAGGGCTCCAAAGTCCAAGCACTTTATTTTGTGTCTTAACACTTTAATTTTGTATATTTAGTACATTATACAGAGAACTCACACTTTTAGAAAATCAGTAGGTTAGGTGGCATTACTTAATTTTATACAAATGTGGAACATGATTCTAAGATTGAGGGATTTGCTCAAGGTCATAGTCCAGCAAGTGACAGAACTCAAGCCAAAACCAGGTCCTATTAATGGTCTTTCCTCTGTATTGTATTGCATGTGGTAAAATAATGGGAGTATAGCACATTGTAAACTAAAAAGTTATGGGCTCCCCATTATTCCCCTTTGAAAATCGTGCATATAAGAGCACTCACCACTACTGAGCAATTTCTGATACTTTGAACAGATGTAGAAATGAATTTAGAAATGAATTGAGTATCCCAACTTAGGGATAACTCAGGTGTCACTAATTCCCTGCTGAACTTTGAGCCAAGTCCCAATACCGGTTTTATTTGATTTCGAAAGTGTGCTATCTTTCTCCTTACCCCATAGGTTTGCCAATTTAGCTGAAGGTTTCTGGGGGAGAAGAGTCTAATTAATGAACAATCCTTCAAATGGTGTCATAAATCCCCTCTATTTTTTTTAATCCTAAATTTTAATACTGAAGTAATGATGAAATTTTGGGTATAGGCACATAGACTTTGAGACTTGTGAAAGCCAGCACATCTCTGTGGGTATTAGGTGGATCATACAGTAACTTCAAGCTGAGCATAAAGAACTATGTGCATCCCTAACCAGTTTAGCTCAGTGGATAGAGAGTCGGCCTGCAGGTTCGATTCCAGTCAAAGGCATGTACCTTGGTTGCGGGCACATCCCTAATAGGGGGTCTGCAGGAGGCAGCTGATCGATGATTCTCTCTCATCGATGTTTCTAACACTCTATCCCTCTCTCTTCCTCCTGTAAAAAATCAATAAAATATATTAAAGAAAAGAACTATATGCATATCCTTGGTATGATAATATAAAATAATAATAGTTTCTTTTAATCAGTAGTGATATTTAATGATATTTATACTACAAATAATTTTTGTTATATCCAGGAATGTATTCATTTATTAAACATTAGTCTTTCCCCATGTAGTGTATGTTAATGTTTTTGAGTTGAATTGAATGAATCCATACCTCTGGAAAGCAGCCTCTTAATTAAATACTATTTTCCGTATACTAAGGCATGTTATTTCTTATAAACAAAGTCACTTTGGAATGCCATTTTATTTTGTGTTGGTTTTGCCTGTCAGTTTTTCCTATAAAACTGAATAAAAGACTCGTGTTTTCACCTTTAGGAAATGCTGAATGTTCATGATCATTATCAGAACAAGAAACATGTAATTTCAGCTGATAAGTCCAATCCAAACAAAACCCTCAGTTTGGTAAAGGATGATTTCTTTGATAATATTAAGACCATAATTTTGGAGCATCAGCAGTGGCACAAAGACAGGAAGGTATGTGACTGCTTGTTTGATACCTTGCCTTTGCAATTGCAGTAAGCACAGAAGGCTGCACAAGGGTGATAATGTTGTGAGAGGCAGCTAGCTGAGTGGCTGCATTTCTGTGGAGCTAAGATTTGGAGGGCTTTACTTTTTTTAGCCACTTATTAGCTATGTGATGTCACTTAACCTTAAACAGATTCTATATAGATTACATCTATAACTAATAATAACAATTATATATGTATAATTAAGTAATATATATATATGACTGTATAATTATAGAGGAATGAGTTGTCCTGGTGTCCCACAGATTTATTGCGTTCTTTAAAATTTAGCATCTTCTGGAGGTTGTGCTCTGTGCGCCAAACCCTGCATACAGATGTGTTTTGTCTGGCACAGCATTGTTCCTAACATTGTTTTTAAAATGTGAGTTAATTACTGACATGTAAATATTTGTAGACTTCATGCAAAATTCCAGATACCCAGTTTCTGGTAAAAGTCAGAGTTTGGCACTCCTGGTCCTGTTTTGCTGCATGGCAGCAGAGAGCTGAGTGGTGGCTGCCTCCACTCTGCTCTGCCAGCCTCGGTTTTTTCATTTACAAATCTCATTATCTCATCCGCACTTCAATTTTCTGACCCAAATGCTGAGGCTAGAGCTACTCATATTGCACATTAACCTTTTCAGCTGGAGAAACTTTTTTATTCTGGAAACCTAAAGGCCAGCCTTTGAAACCACTACGCCATCTTATTTATTAAATACTTCTAAAAAAAAAAAAAAAAGTAAAAAGCAATTTCTGATTACTTACTGTGATTGTGATAATGTGTTAATGTGTTCTCAAATGCTAGGTAAGATTTCAGAAATATTTGTTGCTTCTTTGGCTTTTCATTATATAAAAGGAGCTGGCTCAAATTCATTTTAGAAAAAAAAATAGAAGAAAAGTGATGAAGAGAAGGAAATACTTTGCTTTCACATTTATTTTCATGAGGTAGAACATTTTAGAATGTTTGAATAGTTCATCCTTTCAACAAACTATCTTTAATGATTACTAAGACCTCTGAAAATCTGAAAAGGAAAATAAACCAATTTCCCTCCCCCCCCCCCCCCCCCACATAAAATCCTCCTTCATTAAGAGGATTAAGGCATTTTTTTGATAAATTTTAGTATTATTCTGAAACCTAACCATGATCTTAATTGTCAGGTGGTGAACCATCCTATATAATTAAAGGCTAAGATGCAAATTGTCCCTTGGGAGTTTGACTAGGGGGCGGGGCTCCCAGATTGTAAGAGGGAGCAGGACCCTCCCTTCCCCCCAGTGCATGAATTTCATGCACGGAACCTCTAGTACTTCAATAATGTGAAATGATCTTTTAGCTTTTCAGTAATTAAGTAAATGATTCTCATTGTTTTCCTATAAAACTGAATAAAAGACTCGTGTTTTCAGGAATGCATTGACTTGCAATTAATGTTTAGATCATTTGAGTTGTTAGTGTGTTTATATAAATTTTTTTTCTCTTTCAGAATTCATCCTTAAAATTGAAAGATAAAGATGAAGAAGAAAAGAGGAAAGGAAATTCACAAGAAGCAGAGGTCAGGAAAATTCACTGTGATTGCTGATAGGGCAGTATTTGATTGGCTTTTTATTTTATGTGTGGCTATGATTCTATATACTAAGCATCATGATATTTGCTCAGTGTTAATAAAAATCTTAGAAAATTCTGAAACCTGGGTTCTGTGACGAGATAGTCTGCTTTTACTGGAAACTTTGTATGAGACCACATCAGGTGTCCATTGGGAGTGACAATGTTGACATTTTTATGCAGAGGAAGGGAAAGATGATGCTGGAGTGCCAAGGGCAGAATTAGAGTTTTGTATTATGTCTTTTCTCACTTCCTGTCAGCCTTTCAGCTGGTGTGGAGTTCAGGCTACTCAGTACTGCTTCCTACTTCTAGAGGTTTCATCCATCTTAGTGGATGAGACAAGAGCTGTTTTTGGGCATAGGCCGATGAAGTGGGAATGGCTTCATCACCAAGGCTTTTGTTCATGTTATCCTCCTTAAATCCTGAATGAAAACAATCAGTAGTTATGGCACCTGCTGTGAAAATGTGGTGTGTGTTTCTGTATCTTTACTTTCTTGTACCCTACCTCTGTCTAAAATCTGACTTCTGTGGGTATTCATAATTTCACTTAATGTTTATGTGTTTTAACTTTCCCCCTTCCTTTGTATTTTTATTTCCAGTCGTGTGACAGGGCAGCATCATTAGCAAAAATAAAATCAAAGGCCTTTGCAGTTGTTCCTCCGGTAAGTGACTTCTTTATTAAGGTAATTTAGAAATTGACTTGATGCTTTTTTAAGATTTATTTTATTTTATTGTTTAAAGTATTACACATAGTAGTACATATATCTCCTTTTTTTCCCCATTGACCTTCCCACAGCCTTCCCTACCCCCTGTCGCATGCCCTCATCCCTCCCCTCCTCGCCCCCAGTATCTTGTGTCCATTGGTTGTGCGTATATGCATGCATACAAGTCCTTCAATTGATCTCTTCTCCCTCCTCCCCAACACTCCCCTGCTATGATTTGACAGTCTGTTTGAGGCTTTACTGCCTCTGTATCTATCTTTTTGTTCATCAGTTTATAATGCTCTTTATTTTCCATAAATGAGTGAGATCATGTGGTATTTTTCTTTCATTGCCTGGCTTATTTCACTTAGCATAATGCTCTCCAGTTCCATCCATGCTGCTGCAAATGGTAAGAATGCTTTCTTTTTAAAATATATTTTATTGATTTTTTTTTTTTTACAGAGAGGAAGGAAGAGGGATAGAGAGTTAGAAACACCGATGAGAGAGAAACATCGATCAGCTGCCTCTTGCACACCTCCTACTGAGGATGTGCCTGCAAACAAGGTACATACCCTTAACTAGAATCAAACCTGGGACCTTTCAGTTAACGGGCTGACCCTCTATCCACTGAGCCAAATGGGTTAAGAATTCCTTCTTTTTTATAGCAGCATAATATCCCATTGTGTAGATGTTCCATAGTTTTCTAATGCACTCATCTGCTGATTGGCATTTTGGCTGTTTCCAAATCTTAGCTATGGTGAATTGTGCTGCTATGAACATAGGGGTGCATATATCCTTTCTGATTAGTGTTTCTAGCTTCTTGGGATATATTCCTAGAAGTGGGATTACTGGGTCAAATGGGAGTTCCATTTTTAGTTTTTTGAGGAAATCCCATAATGTTCTCCATAGTGGCTGCACCAAGTCTGCATTCCCACCAGCAGTGCACAAAGGGTTCCTTTTTCTACACATCCTCACCAGCACTTGTCATTTGTTGATTTGTTGATATTAACCATTCTACAGGTGTGAGATGGTACCTCATTGTCATTTTGATTTGCATCTCTCAGATAATTAGTGACTTTGAGCATGTTTTCTTATGTCTCTTTCCTTCCTTCTGTCTTCTTTCAAAAAGTATCTATTTAGGTCCATTGCCCATTTTTTTATTGGGTCATTTATCTTTTATTAAGTTGTATGAGATCCCTGTAAATGTTGGAGATTAAACATTTATCGGTGATAACATTGGCAAATATGTTTTCCTAGACAGTTGGCTTTCTTGTTGTTGGTTTCTTTTGCTGTACAAAAGCTTTTTATTTTGATGTAATTTCATTTGTTTATCTTCTCTTTAGTTTCCATTGCCCTAGGGTGAAGAAATTGCTTCAGCATATGTCTGAGATTTCTCTGCCTATGGATTCCTCTAGTATTTTTATGGTTTCCCATCTTATGTTTAAGTCTTTTATCCATTTTGAGTTTATTTTTGTGTATGGTGTTAGTTGGTGTTCTAGTTTCATTTTTTTACATGTATTTGTCTTATTTTCTCAACACCATTTATTGAAGATACTGTCTTGACTCCATTGTATGTTCATGCCTCCTTTGTCAAATATTAATTGAGCTTTGTGCTTTGGGTTGATATCTGGGTTCTCTGTTCTATTCTATTGGTCTATATGTGTATTCTTGTGCTAGTACCAGGCTGATTTGAAAACAGTGGCTTTGTAATATGGCTTGAAATCTGGTATTGAGATCTCACCTACTTTGTTCTTCTTTCTCAGGATTGCTGTGGCTATGTGGGGTCTTTATTTATTCCAGATGGATTTTTGGAGAGTTCTTTCTAGGTCTGTGAAATATGCTGTTGGTATTTTAAGGGGAAGTACATTGAATCTATAGATTGTTTTGTGTATTATGAACATGGTATGTTCTTCCATCTGTTTATGTCTTTATCTCTTTTTTTAGTGTCCTGTAATTTTCCATGTATAAGTATTTTACCTCCTTAGTTAAGTTTATTGCTAGGAATCTCAATTTTTTTTGTTTTGATGGTAAATGGGATTGGTTTTTGAGTTTCTCTTTTTGTAAGTTTACTATTGGTGTATAGAAATGCCATAGATTTCTTGGCGTTAATTTTGTATCCTGCTACATTGCCGAATTAATTTATTAAATCTAATAGTTTTTTGATGGAGCCCTTCAGGTTTTTTATGTACAATATCATGTCATCTGCAAATAAGGACAGCTTTACTTCTTTTCCAATTTGGATACCTTTTATTTCTTCTTCTTTACTAATTGCAATGGCTAATATTTTTAGTTCTGTGTCGAATAGGAGTGGTGAGAGTGGCCATCCCTGTCTTGTTCCTGTTCTTAGGGAAAATGGTTTTAGTTTTTTCCCATTGAATATGATGTTGATGTTTTCTAGCTCACTGATGTGGTCCTTTGGTTCTACTGTTGATGCTTTCTATTGAGTTCTTTATAGCAGCGATATCATTTTCCATTTTTCTTGGTTCTTACACATATTATTGAATTTGTCGTCCATTCTTTTCATCCACCTTTGACCATTTTTCTGAATTCTTTCTCTGACAGGTTGCTTGCCTTCATTTTGTTTATTTCTTTTTCTGCTTATGCCTGCTTTTCTTTAATATGCAGGCTGTTTCTTTGTCTCCCCATGGTCTCTCCAGGTGTCTGATTATATAGTTCTCTCTCTCCTGATTATAGTTTTTTTTTTCCTCCAGGCTGGCAGTTCTGTTTCCAAGTGATACAAGTTTGGCAGAGGCACAGCACAATTCATCTGAATAATGGGAGGCTACATTAAGATAGCCTACAGGTGTCAAGCCTGCCTCTGGTCTTCTATTTCTGTTAGGCAATTATATAAGATAATAGACCCTCCTCTTCCCTGGGCGCACAGCCTCAGGTCAGCGGTCAGCAGGTCAGGTCCTTTCGACTTGATGCTTTTTTAATTACACTTTTCTTATTCATCTGAGTAATACATGTACATAGTTTTAAAAGGCTGATATTACTATATAGTTTGTATAACCAAACCATTTCCTGCTCCCCACTTCCCACCACTGTATTCCTAATCTCAAGGGACCTGTCTTCAACTTTTTCTGTTTTATTTGTTTATTTACTTTTTATTATTATTTTTAAAGATAAAATTTTTAAAAATATATTTTTATTGGTTTCAGAGAGGAAAGAATAGGGGGAGAGAGGTAGAAATATTGATGAGAGAGAATCATTGATCTGCTATCTCTTGCCTGGTTCTTGCTGAGAATCAAGCCTACAACCCAGGCATGTGCCCTTGACTGGAAATGAGCCCAGGACCCTTCAGTCCGCAGGCTGGCAGGCATTCTATTCAATGAACAAAATTGGCTGAAGCTATTTTTGTTTATTTATTTATTTTTAAACTTTTTAAATTACTTCTGGTATTTACTTGGAATTTTGATGCCATTGTTCCTTTTATTGTAATCCTAACCTGAGGATATTTTTCCATAGATTTTTAAAAATTTTATTTATTTTTAATATATTTTATTGATTCTTTACAGAAAGGAAGGGAGAGGGAGGGAGAGCTAGAAAGATTGATGAGAGAAAAACATCAATAAACTGCCTCTTGCACGCGCCCTACTGTGGATGTGCCCACAACCAAGGTATATACCTTTGACCCGAATCGAACCTGGGGCCCTTGAGTCTGCAGGCTGTTGCTTTATCCACTGAGCCAAACCAGTTAGGGCTCCATTGATTTTTAGAAAGAATGGAAGGGAAGGGGAGAGACAGGATCATGGATGTGAGAGAAACACATAGATTGATTGCCTTCTGCACTCATTCTGACCAAGGCAGGGATGAACCTGCAACTGTGCCCTTGACTGGAATTTAACTCAGGACCCTTCAATCCTTTGGCTGATGCTCTATCTAATGAGTAAAACTGGTTAGGGCGATGTTGTTGTTCTTAATTGTCTTCCAGCTTTTGTTTTCTTGTTCTTTGAAGGTTTTAGGATTTTCTCTTAATCCCTGGTGATCTGAAAGTTCATGATTATGTAACTTGATGTAGGTAATTTTCCATCAGTGTCTTTGGCTCTCATGAGAGCCTTCAGTTTGGAGGAGTTTTTTTGTATTGTTTCTTTGATAGAGTTCTTTGCTGCATTTTTGCTTTTTTTTCTTCTGTTTTTAATCTCTGTTTTCAGAGAGATTTCTTAAACTTTCTCTTCTGAACATTGAATTATTTTATTTCTACTGATATTTTTCATTACTGATTTTTTCTTCTTTGAATCTTTTTCTAGTTAAAAGTATTCTTTTTTTTTTCTGGATGCATCATCTTATCTCTATGGATGTTAATTATAGGTTGTTTTTTTTAAGTTTCCTTCTTTTCTCTTGGAGTTCCCATTTTGCTGGCTTTTTCAAATGTTTGAAGATTCTTGGATCATTTTTAAGAATGGTCATGTGGAGATACAGCATTTTAATCTCAATAATTCTTTTTCAGTTAGTCAGTACTCTGCTTAAGCATTGACTAGCCTGGTCTATCTAAAATGTCCTTGGACTGTCCCTCCATTTCTCATCTTTGATGTTGCCTTCACTGTCTTCAAATGCTATTCCTGACTGCTCCTGCCTTGCTTATCCTAGATTCAGGAAAGGGAGAATTTGTTTCCTAACAGTTCAACAGAATTCTAAAATTGAGTTATGTCAGTTATGATACGGATCATACGCCCACCCTGAACAAAAACCCTGTGGCCACTGGGTTGTGAAATTCATATTTTACTAGATCAGGGCCATGGCCAGACCCGGAGCCAAGCATAAAATAGTTCCACTCAAAGCACATGGTGGAAAGTAAGGAAAATAGAATATTAGAAGAAAAGAGAATAGTTTATCAGGCAGTAAAGCATAGTACTTGTCCTTTATGCCTCCATTTCCCAACCATGCAGCTACAACTACATCTTAACCAAGTTTGAGTAGATGGTGATGACAACTGTTAAGAACTTTTCCTATCCTATGTAATAATCCTATATAATAAAAGGGTAACATACAAATTGACCCTACCATTGGAATGGCCAGGAACAACTGGTTACTCAAAGCAGGAGCTGCCCCCTCGTGGTCAGTGCACTTCCACAGGGGGTGCTCTGCTCAGCCACAAGCTGGGCTGATGGCTGTGAGCACAGCAGTGGTGGTGGAAGCCTCTCCTGCCTTCTTGGCAGTGGGCCTAAACCATCAGCTGGACATCCCCTGAGGGCTCCTGGGCTGCCAGAGGGATGTCTGACTGCCAGCTTAGGCCCGATCCCCTGGGGTATCGGGCCTAAGCTGGCAGGTGGACATCCCCCGAGGGCTCCCAGACTGGGCACAGGCCAGGCTGAGAGGACCCCCCTCCCAAGTGCCTCCATATGACAAATATTGTAAATCTTTCCTCATATTTGTGTATTTTGTCTTTATGAGCTGTATTCATTTTGTAATTCCTTATGGTTAATTGGATTTCTTACTCTTAAGGCTTCCAAGTCAAGGAGGCATCGCCAAGTCAAACTTGACTCTTCCGACTCTGATTCTGCTTCTGGTCAAGGACCAATAAAAGCAACCAGGGGAAAAAGAAAAAAAGATTCATTGAATTCCCCAGGAAGGAAGAAGTTTTCCAGTAAAAGTGGTAACTTTTTAAAGTGTTTTTGAGACTCTACAAGGGAGAATGAATTTTATTTATAATCTCCCCTCACTGATTTTTTATTATTAAAAAGGATTAAATACTTGCTTGACTGAGAACCTTATAAGATTTAATATTAAAAATAAATTATCTTAGATTTTTAGAATCTTACTGCTAAAAGAGACCCTAAGAGAGTCATAAAATCCATTATTTCATAGATGATGAAATTTTGGACAATATCTATACTAATAAAGGGTAATATGCTACTTAGACCAGGTTGACTGGGCATCTTCTGGACATCCAACTTCCTGCCAAGCTGGGAGGGGGGGCAGTTAGTGGGTGGCCAGGATGGCAGGGGGGCAGTTAGGGAGTGACCAGACTGGCAGAGGGCAGTTAGGGGCAATTAGGGGGTGATCAGGCCAGCAAGCAGAGGCAGTTAGGGGCAATCAGACATGCAGGTAGAGGTGGTTAGGAGCAATCAGGCATGCAGGTAGAGTGGTTAGGGGCAATCAGGTCAGCTGGCAAGGGAGCAGTTAGGGGGTGGCCAGGCTGGCAGTTAGGGGGCAACCAGGCCAGCAGGGGGGCAGATAAGGGGTGATCAGGCCAGCAGGGGGGCATTTAGGGGTGACCAGGGTGGCAGGGGACCAGTTAGGGGATGATCAAGCAGGCAGGTAGGTGGTTAGGGGCAATCAGGCAGGCAGGTGAGCAGTTAGGAGCCAGCGGTTAGATTCCTGTGGGATGCGGCCTAAACAGGCAATTGGACATCCCCTGAGGGGTTCCGGATTAGAGAGGGTGCAGGCCAGGACTAGGCACCCCCTACCTGCCCCCATGCATGAATTTTGTGCACCAGGCCTCTGGTAGTTTTATAATATAAGTTGCTTAAATTATTATAGCTAGACAGTTATAGGATCAGTCTAGAACTTTCCAGATCATACTGTATTATTAGTTCTTGTGAATAAGTTATAAGCAATAACATTCTGTAAACCATATTTCCCTCTGGGCTGCACTAATTAAGCTATACCTGTTTTTCTTTTGAAATAGTGTATCTATAAAATTACCTTTGGTATTTGTTTCTTAAAGAAATGACTATGTATTTTAATAGTTTAAATTTTAAAAATTATATAGATAACATATGTAATCATCATACATAAAGCTGGGGTTTGATTAGCAGGCTCAGGGTAAAAAAGGAGCACTGGAAACATTAAATATTTAATAAATAATATAAAACACATTCCTAACTACTACTGGGAGTAGCATGGTAGGTAGGTGGGTACAAACTAAAAATAGGAACACTAAGTAAAAGGCTGTATTGGAGTAATGAGTATCTGACCAGGTGGTTGTAGGAATTAGATGAGCAGATTAACAGATATGACAACCAATGTATATCTATAGGTAACCAGATATAGAGAGTGATGGGGAGGGATTAGATAAGGATGCTTATTGCTTAAATAGCTGAGAGAATATTGGTGCCTTTAACAGAAATAAGAATCACAGGATGAAGTTTTTATTTTGGTGGGAGGGGTGGATGGATATATACCCATCTGCCTTTTCAAGCTCAATTCCTAAAATAGCTCACTAGCACATAAATAGGTTCTCAGTATATTGATTGGATTTACTAGGTTTGTTTTACTTAAACTTTGGCTATACTTGCTCACCATTCTTAGAATTTAACATGCACATTTCTGAAGGACATTAATGATGATAAGATGATTAAGAGGATCTTATGTAACCTTATTATCTGCCCAACTTCTTTCACGTGTCTAAGTCACCTAGCTATTAAATAGAGCTGAGGCTTGAATGAATGGCAATCTGCCTGAATCTTTAATGGCTATTCTTGCTCTCTCAGATAATTGAAAATGTGGATCTGGAGCTCAAATTAGTCATGCATTTAAGTAACTTGTATTTGAGCTGCATGCGTACTAATCATTAGTTTTGAGGTTGAGCAATAGTCTATTATTTTTAACTAGAGGCCCGGTGCATGAAATTCCTGCACGGGGTGGGGGTTGTTCCTCAGCCCGGCCTGCACCCTCTCCAATCTGGGACCCCTCGGGGGATCTCTGACTGCCAGTTTAGACCCAATCCCACAGGGGGTGATCAGGCTGACAGGGGAGCATTGAGTTGTCAATCAGGCTGGCAGGCAGAAGCTTTAGGGGCAGTCAAGTAGGCAGGCGAGCGGTTAGGAGCCAGCAGTCCTAGATTGTGAGAGGGATGTCCGACTGCCTGTTTAGGCCTGCGGGCCAGCAGAGGATCGGGCCTAAACCAGCAGTCAGACATCCCTCTCACAATCTGGGACTGCTGGATCTTAACCACTCGCCTGCCTGCCTGCCTGATTGCCCCCTAACCGCTCCCCTGCCAGCCTGATTGATATCTAACTGCTCCCCGGATGGCCTGATCACCCCCAGTTGCCCTCCCCTGCCAGCCTGATTGCCCACAACTTCCCTCCCCTGCCATGACCCACCTCTTCTGCCTGGACCCGCCGCCTCTTGGAGATATTGGGACCAGCCTCCTTCATGCTACGTGGAGCCACGAGACCCCCAGGCCTCACTGCACAGAGTGGCCACTGGGCCCCGCCTCTGCTATGCGTGCAGCCATCTTGTTTCAGCCAATTTTTAACGGCCATCTTGTGACAACATGAGGGCATGATGACAACCTAGGCTATTATTAGTATAGAAGTTTGTATGAAATATTGCATTATAAAATAGTTGAATCATATGTAATCATTTAACAAATACTTATTGAAGCTCACCTATATGCCAGGCACTTTTCTAAGTGCTGGAGTAGATCAACTTAAACCAAAACCTATTCTCATGAGGCTTACAACCTAGTGGGAGAGGCAGACTATAAATAAACAGTATGTCAGGCAGTAGAAGTGTTAACAGAGAAAAATGAGGAAGCATCTATACTAATAAAAGGGTAATATGCTAATTAGACCAGATGTCTTCCGACATCATTCGGATATCCTTTCTGATGAAGCTGGGCTCAGGCGAAGCTAGCTGGGGTCCCGGGTGCCTGCAGGCGGCTTGGGCAAAGTCAGCCAGGATCCTGGGTATCTGTGGGCGGCCCAGGTGAAGTCAGTTGGGGTCCTGAGTGCCTGCGGTGGCCTGGGCGAAGCCAGTCAGGTCTCATGTGCCTGCTGGCAGCGGGAGGAGGGAAGCCTGGGTCCCAGGTGCTAGAGGGAAGCCAGTGCTGGCAGCCAGGGGAAGGAAGGCCTACTCTTGCAGGAATTTTCGTGCATCCGGCCTCTAGTAAGGAATAGTGACTCTTAGGAGGGGATTACTCTTGGGCCATGGGTGTTCTGCTCTAAATGAGACTTGATCTGACAATGGTATCTGATAAATTTGAATAAATTTCTTCAGACAATAGATGGTTGATGTAGAAAATCTCCAATATTTTGGAAAATGCAAAGTCAATGGCAAATTATAACTAGAGAAATATGTCTTATAGAGCATATGTGGTGATAAAAGGAAGTGTGTCTTCATTCAAAAACAAGGCTGTTAACTTTAAAATTCATTTATGATTAATTAATATAGTCAAAGTAACACCTGTGATTATCCCCTGATAGCAGCAGATAACATACTGTGCTGTGTATGAAAAGGATTAAATAAAATACCTGTATTTGGCTAATTTTGTTTCTTCCCCTTTCCTCCATTTTTTTTAATGGAAGAATTAGAGACTGTTTCAAATCATAGATACAAATGTATTAATACTTAAAGATAGATATTTTAACGTGCATATTTCTGTTTACCATTACAGTTTAAGCTTTTAGTTTAAACATCTATTTTTTATAATAGTGACATTACTTATATAAATATTTTTTTTCTTAAAAATTAACATTTTTTTTTACATAAAACCATTTTTTGTTTATTTCCAGATGACAAACAGAATGCACATAAGGAAGATAGATGTTTGAGTCTGAGTATGCCTGTAATTACAGAGGATGATGAGGAGAACGGAAATCAGAGTGAAACAGGTACAGATGTGGTTTTGTCAAACTGGGAAAGAAAGCTATGCTCAGAGTATTAAGGTTTAGAACCCTTGAAGATAATGATGGTTCTGTGTTTTTGTTTTTATCTTTGGCACATTGGAAAATTTTAGTATTAATCATACTGTTAAGGAAAACACTTAAGAGTAGAATTGGTAATCCATATAGGATAATGCCTAATGACTTTCTTTTTTTAAGTTTCTTTCTTTTCTTTTTTTTTTTTTTTTAATATATTTTATTGATTTTTTACAGAGAGGAAGGGAGAGAGATAGAGAGCTAGAAACGTCTATGAGAGAAAAACATCAACCAGCTGCCTCTTGCACACCCCCTACTGGGGAAGTGCCCGCAACCAATGTACATGCCCTTGACTGGAATCGAACCTGGGACCCTTCAGACCGCAAACCAACGCTCTACCACTGAGCCAAACCAGTTTCGGCTTTTAAGTTTCTTTAAAATATTTTTGTTTTGAATTGATCTCAGAAATGGAGAGGGAAAGAGAGATAGAAGCAATCAATGATGAGAGAGACTCATTGATCAGCTGCCTCCTGCATGCCCCACACTTGGGATTGAGCCTGCAACCAGGGCATATGCCCTGACTGGGAATTGAACTGTGACCTCCTGGTTCATAGGTCAACATTCAACCACTGTGCTTATCACTGATTTACCCCTAGACAGCTATTTCTAGATGGACTGAGCCACACCAGCTTGTCATTTGGGCTATATATTTATTCAGCAAGCATTTATTGGGTGCCTCTTGTTTTTCAAGTACTTAGCTAAATTTTTATAGTATATAAAGATACATACTATAATAATTTAAGAACCATATTATTTTAATCACGGTGATTGTAGATCTGAGTGGATCTGAGCACAGTGACTGGCCCACAGTAGACCTAAGTAAATAGTTGTTGAATGGCTTATATCAGTCTGTGTCCCCAAGAACCTTAAAGTTTAGTGTGGGAGGAAAATAAGCCAGGATACTATGGTGAAGAGAAGCAGGGTGCTATAGAAGCATATGGAAGACAAAGAATAGACCATTAAAAGGGATTATTTGTTCCCTCAGAAATCTGAGCATTTCTGTGGTTAGCTTATGTCTACATAAAACAGTCCTTTACAATCTTGTAGTGAATTTCAGATCTTAGTTTCTCTCCAGTCTTGCTTGGGGCTTTTACTGTGTGTAAACTATTAATCACACACATACCTTATGGCCAGCTGAGAAGTCCTGTTTGAAAATCTATCAGCTTGTTATTGTTAAAAATTTGGTTTTCATTGATCATTATTACATATGCACATAATTTATTTTACAGTTCAAATAATTTTTTAGTACTCATAAGAAACCAGTCTTCTAACTCTGACTCCCATTTATTATTCCCCAGAGACAACCACTTTTGACACTATTACTAATTACCTTTGTGTCTCTAAATAACAAGTTTATGATATTGCCTTTCTTCATATTTCAATTCTGTGAATTATCTGTTGGCCTCCCACCGAGGAAGGTGAGGGTTTAATTCTCTCATATTCTTTACCTCTCACCCCAAACACATGAATGCTTCCCAGTCCCACCCTCCCAATATGATTATTATTTATTTGTATTGGTATTCAACATTTACAAAACATTATTGGCCATGGAATAGACTGTAATTTTTTCTTAATCTGTGCATTTATTATTTTCCCTAGAGAGTTAATAACCTTTTTGCCTGATTTTTTTTTTCATGTGCTTATCACAATTTACCCCTAGACCAGTGATTCCCAAAGTGTGGTACGCGGGAAGAGTTTGGTGGGGATATGCACTGCACAATGCTTAGCTGCACCTAATTCTACGTTCTCATGAGTACGAGGGGTACTCAGCATTACGGAAATTATAGAAGGGGTACACATATGTCAAAAGTTTGAGAAACACTGCCCTAGATCACTCTTTGATTGTATAAATCTCCTCTTGATATATTCAAACACATTAGGCATTTTATCAGTTTTATCTTTTTTTTTTTTTTTTTTTTAAGATTTTAAAATTGATTTTTAGAGAGAGAGAAAGAGAGAAACATTGATGTGACAGCAAAAATATTGATCAGCTGCCTCTTGCACACCTCCTATTAGGGATCGAGCCCACAACCAGGGTATGTGCCCAGATCAGAAATCAAGCTACAACCATTCTGTGCATGGGACAGATACTCAACCAACTGAGCCACATAGGCCAGGGCACTTTCATATTTTTAATGAAGTCTCTTCCAGACCTGTGACGCTCTACTCTGGACAGTTTGTTTACGTGGCCTGCTACACTCTGTGCTGACTGCTGTTCTCTTCTAGCAATCTCTTTTCTCTTCATCTTTTGTCTTTCCTTATTCCTCTTCCTATTACTCCCCTTTTGTTTTGCACTGGAGGGGAATATTTTCATTTTTTATGTTTTTGAATCTTCTATTGTTTTTAATTACCAGGAATTATAAGGTTTACAGCTATTTCTAGAGGGACGCCTATTATCATGTTGGATCTGGTGTCTGCTATGGTAGCCAAAAAGATGTATGGTACTAGTATCCTGGGTTATAGTTTCAGGTTTAAAAGTGAAACTGAAGTCTTAGGCTCTTCATCTCTCTTAGCTCTGGCATGGGTACCTTTCAGATTGGCACACTAGATCCATGCTAATTATAGGGAGGGCATACCCATATGTTTATTGTTAAGTAGGATTTAGGATGACTAGAGTCTACTTTAGCAAGTTTTCAACTACAATATCATTTTGAGGGGGAAAATCATATATGTCAGGTTTAAGATTTCTTGTTGGGAGTTTTGCTGTGATGGCATTCTTATTTAATAACAATTAAATATCTATATAGTTTCAATGTATGTTATTATTTTTTTAGACCTGACAGACTTCTTAATTTTATATTTTTAGAGGTGGCGTCACTCAAGAGGAAAAGAAAACCCAGAACAAAGAGGCTGGTGTAGTTTAATTTTGAGCTTTCCAACAGGAGAGTTACATTTTGTGTATTTAATAGGAAGACTGCCACTATTAAAAACAATCCTTCTGAGGCGATATCTTTGAAATGACAATACTTTAATATAGTTCTAGAACCAAAATACAAATACTTAGAGTAAGAACTCAATCAAATTTATTTTCCACATATTCTTTCATGAAATCTGTGTAAGTGGAGAGAAAATTTGATTTATAATATAATAGAGTAATACTATTATTTGCAGATTTTTAATATTTCCTACAGCTTTTATGCTATTATACTATGTTAGTACAGTTTTGGTATTATTATTCTTAAAATCTTTTTTTCTTGAATTATTAATGCTAATTGTTTTGTATCTACACTCTGGTAATGGATTTATTTTGTATATTATATAAGTGCACTAAAGTTTTTGTCGTATTTGCTTTAGTTTTTAATATATGAAACTTATGTGGTCAGTAACTTATGTGATTGATATCTTAGGAAGCTCAGTTTCTGCTTCTGTCATCAATTAAATATTTTTTGGTGTTTGTTTTAAAGCTCCCTTTGGCTTAACATTTATGTATGTATATATTCTGTTTATATATGTATAGATATATGTATGCATCTCTCACTCTCTCTATATATATACATATTATAACATGACTAGACGCCCAGTGAACAAAATTTGCATTGGCGGGCGTGGGGGGGTCCCTCAGCCCAGCCTGCACCCTTCCCAATCTGGAACCCCTTGGGGGATGTCCAACTGCCCATGGGATTGGGCCTAAACCAGCGGTCGGACATCTGTCTCACAAGCTTGGACTGCTGGCTTCCAAACACTCACCTGCCTGCCAGCCTCATCACCCTCTAACCACTCCCCTGCCAACCTGATCGATGCCTAACTGGTCCCCTAGTGACCAGTTGCCCCCGACTGTCCTCCCCTGCAGTCCAGGTCACCCCTAACTGCCCTCTCCTGCAGGGTTGGCCCCCCTACTCCCAAGTGCCCTCCCCCGCTAGCCATCTTGTGGCAGCCATCTCTGACCACATGGGGCGGCCATCTTGTGTGAGAGCGTGAGGGTCAATTTGCATATTATGGCTTTATTATATAGGATTAGTAAATACATTAAGTACACTTAAATGTTTAATATTTCAGATAAAAACTTTGAGTGGTAATGCAAATTTCATAATTTGTGGTACAGAATAGTTGGAACTCAGAAAAATATTCTATAGCTTCCTGAATGTGCCTCCCTGTTAATTTCTCATTTGAGATACTTAAATGGAGATTGCTTGAGCCATGTTAAATTGCTGCCAGTAGCAGATCACTTCCACATGTGCTGAGCCTGTCTTACAGTTGATTCTATTCACGCATTTTCCCAGCATTGTATATTCAGGAATTCTACAAGTGTGTAGTGAGTGACTGTGTGATATCTGTAATTTTTTTAAAATCAAAATGCTAACAGTAGCCCAAATAAGACTTTGATTTATTAGAATCTAGTCATCATGCTAGCTACTAAACAAAATTATTTCCCATGACTGACTTAAGATGTTTCCAGTAATAGATGGGGAAGTTTTCATAATGTGGACATTGGGCAGAGCTTCTGAGATTTAAATATTCTAGGGTTAGGGCACTTGGAGATATGGAGCCATTATTGGCCACTTATATACCAAGTTATTTGAAGAAACTTGTCTGATCATTAAAGTTTACAAACCTGGTACAGCTAACACAGGGAGTAGCCCTCTATTTTTTTCATAACAGTGCTAATAAGATCAAGATATCATTTCACATGAACAATGAAGAAAGTACCTCAGGATGCCTTCCCTACATTCACAAAGTTAGTAAGTGGTACATCTAGAGATACCAAAACAGACTGGCCTATAGTTGTCGTCTTATATAATAAAAGGCTAATATGCAAATTTCCCCTCAACTGGGAGTTTGACCCAGAATTTGACCAGGGGGCAGGGCTCACAGGCCAACCGCCCAGAGCTCCGCCCTCTGGGCCCTCCCCCTGGTCACCCTCCTTCCCCCCCCCCCCCTCCGCCCCAGATTAGGGGCAGGGCCTGCCAGCCAACCACCCACGGCCCCTCCCCCTGCTGGCCCGGTCTGATTGGCCCTGATGGGGGGGCGGGGGCTGGCTGGAACCCAACCATGCACAAATCCGTGCACTGGGCCTCCAGTTTCACAAAAGCCAAAAGAAACGGAAATCCAGAGGAGTACTTTGACTGCAAGCATTAAGCTATTTCAAAAGGGCTTAAACAATTAGGAAAGTTTATTTTAAAACTGGTTGAGTCTCAGTGGGAGTGGCCTGGGTTTTATGTTGAAGTACATCAGTTCCATTGTGGCTTCTAGGGCCTTCCAGGTTTGGGTCCTTGGGGAAAGCTTTATGTCAATGCAGGGAACGGTTCACCAGCCAAGTTCCCAGACACTAGTCACAGGCCAACCTTGCAAGCAAGCCTTCCCAAGGATAGCAGTCTCAAGGCCTTCTACTACCTCTTCTGCACAGGTGGGTTCATTTCACTTTTCACTATTTCAGACAATGCTGTGTTGACCTTTTTGTGCATATCTTGGCTCACTTACACACACACACACACACACACACACACACACACACAGATACCTAATTGATAATTGTTGCCAAATTGAACTCCAAAAAGGTTACAGATTTACATTCCTACTAGCTGTATTTGCAAGGGACTTCACACCTCCATTACACAGGTTATCTTTGTAATTGTCAGTTGAATACAGCCTGAATCTTAACAACAAAAATTGTAGAAAGGAAGATAAAAGTAATAAAATTATATTAAGCAGATCTGACTTACGTAGTTACATCTGAGAATGTAATGCTTTAGCTGGTAGCAAGTTTATTATGAATATATTATGAAAATGCTGTATGAATCACTTGAAATTTATTGAACTGGGTTAAAATAGAAAATATTTGTGTTTAACAGTGGGTTTTCAGAAGCAAAATGTGTTCAAATACTAGTTATCTATTAAATTAAGCTGTTTATATTTTCAACTTAATTATAATAAAAATAACTGCACCAAGTCATAAGTAAGTGATTTTAATATTAAATATTCACTACATTAATGTTTTGTAAGGAAAGCAGCATTGTAGCAGTGTTTATAAACAAGCTGTATTTTAAAGTCACACCACTTAGTTTTCAGAAATCTTAATATATAAAAATATTGTTCAAAGTAGAGAATTGGAATTATAGTAGTTTTAACGTTATATGCCAGGCTTACTTGGAGGATCTAAAAAACAAACTGTGAATAAAAAAAGTGGGACCAGAAATAAAATGGAACTTGTATGGATGCTTATTGGGAGAATACTTTTCACTTTGAAAATAAAGTATTGTAATTTGTTTCTTTGGAAGTTTGCAGTTCTGTATGAGCAATTCTTGTGCGTTATCTTTTTTTCCTTTTCTGGTATTGTTAGGGTTTATGTTGTAAGCACACCTAAGCTCCCATCTGGGTTTCTAACCTCTTTCTCTTAATGCCTCAGAGGTTTCCTGAGTGGGTGCCTTCAGTGAGTGAAACACTCCCAATCTCTTTAACACCCAATTAAAGTGCCCCTTCCCTGAAACAAACACAGGTGTACCACCTGCCAACTATTGTCTATTGCCAAGGGAGGGATAATGAGCCAACACTTAGGCAAATACTTTGTCGTCTACAGGGATAGTGATATCACTGGGAAAATGCATTGAAAATTCATTTATCTAAATGGTTTGAATACGTATGGTTTTTCCCATCTGGAAACTATAAAGTAAAAATGTGTATCCTAGATCTGCCACTGATTCATGGTATAACCTTAAAGCATTAATTTGGTTTTGTTTAGATCCTTTTCTCAGTTATAAATTCAGAGCTGTATTACTGACTTGTCAAAAATATTAAGAACTATTTACTGCTTTGAAAATGCTATGAATGCTGAACTTCAAAATAATTACCACCGAAAAGTGTAAGCTTTTTAAATGTACTGGGATGCTAAGGAAACCAGAGTGGTTATTAGTGTTTCATGCCATTTTCTTAAGTCAGAACAATTGAAAGCTTTTGTGTTTACAAAGATCCTCAGATTGGTAGGAGACAAACCTTTGCAGCTCAGTTGACAATTTAAGGAGCGCATGGTTTTCTTTTTTCAAGTTGAATTAGATACAATATATGCCCTCTTCCTAATAGCTTATTATGGTTATGACAAAAAGATTCACAGATATATATAGAGACAGTGTTTTTAACTGAGATATCAGTAAAAAGGATCTTTATGAGCTGAAAATCATTTTAGCTTTGATATAAAAAGCGTAGGAAAATATGCAGAGATATTAATGCCTTCCCAAATTTACCCTTGATTCTTGAACTCAATTACAGTTTGAAGAATGCTTGTTTTTTAAATGGCATTGCGAGGACTCTGTGGGTGCTTAACTATTCACATTTTCATTTACCTTTGAACTACCATGTAGTAATTTTCATAACACATTTAAAAACTCCCTGTATTGAAGTAAATGCCAGTGCCTCAGGCTATATAACCCCCTTTTACATGGTATTTTTTATTCCTGAATCATTTGGTTTAATGTGCTGTATGTTGCAGGTCTAGCTTTTTATTTTATTTTTTATGATAAATTTGGACAGGCTCCTTGAGATTGCAAGGAATGAAGGCATGTTACCTAAAATGCTAGGGTTTATTTTGAGAATATAGAGGACATCACTGGCTGGAATGGCTCAGTAGATTGGATTGTTGTCCCATTCACTAAAAGGTTGTGAGTTTGATCCCAGTGGGGCGAATTCAGGAGGCAATTGATTGATGTTTCACTCTGATGTTTATGTTTCTTTCCCTTTCTAAAATCAATAATAAAATAATAATAATAATAAAGAATATAGTGAACAGTAAGGCCATCATCTCATCAGAAGCACAGCTCTTTGGAAAGCTAAAAAAATAAGTCTTTGTCTTGTAGTGCACCCAGCAGTTTGGACGGCCCCGTTGTGATTGTAGCCTCGTCTTGAAATAGCTGTCCATTGCTACATTGCCA